AGGAGGACGTTGTGGGGGGGGCACAGTGCCTTTTTCTGGGGCTCCCCACTATCGTGGTGCTGCTTTGTTGCATTGCAGCGACGGCCTATCTATTCTCACTGGCCACTTTCTCGAAGCGGCACCTCGTGACTCGATATCCTGCGACCGAGTGGCCTAAGCAGCTTGCGGAGGGCAAGAACCCACGGAAGCGCTACCCGAAGTACGACACGTCGACCAAGGAGAAGGCAACGGAGTCGTTCTTGAAGGCCTCGAGGACAAACACTCACTAAACATATGTGTCGGAGAACCGCTCGGATTTCTGGGCTCGGTCCCCGCGCCGAGGAAGTGATGTGGTGAGGGGTTCAGCTCCGACCCGAAAAATTTCCTGGTGGTTCTCCGAAAGTTTATGTTTATGCAGTTTGCCTTGTCTGTCGAAGGTTTGCGACTACCTTGTCGAAGAGGCCGTAGCAGAGCTGCCGGGGAGTTTCGAGATGCCGCCGAAGGAGGTCGCGTGGGTGCGCAGGATGTTGGATTACAATGTCAAGGGTGGGAAGATGAACCGCGGCCTGATGGTGGTTGGCAGCGGCGAACTGCTCCTGCAGCATCATGGGGAGGAACCGGACAGCGACACACTGACCAAGCTGGCTGTGCTGGGCTGGTGCATCGAGTGGCTTCAGGCCTGGCTCCTTGTAGCGGACGACATCATGGACGATTCCCAGACTCGCCGGGGACAACCCTGCTGGTACAAGAACGAAGACGTGGGAAAGATCGGAATCAACGACGCGTTTATGATCGAGATGTTTGTCTACCGGACGCTGAAGCGCCACTTCTGGCAGGAGCCGTATTACCACCAGCTCGTGGACCTCTTCATGGAGACGACTTTCCAGACCGAGTGTGGACAGCTCCTGGACCTGCTGTGCACCAACATTACCCTCGAAGATTTCACAGAGGACAGGTGGACTCTCATCGTCAAGTACAAGACTGCGTTCTACTCCTTCTATTGCTCGGTGGCTCTGGGTATGCTGGTTTCTGGCATCGTTCGCAAGGAGGCATTCGACGTGGCTAGGGAGCCCCTCCTGAAGATGGGCATTTACTTCCAGGCGCAAGACGACTTCTTGGATGCGTTTGGTACCCCGGAGCAGATCGGAAAGATCGGCACTGACATTCAGGACAAGAAGTGCGGCTGGCTCTTCGTGAAGGCATTCAACAAGCTCGCGAGCCCAGAGCAGAAGAAGTACCTCGAGAAGCACTACGGGAACTGCAAGATCGACTCGGTGGAGGAGAAGGAGATCAAGAAGATGTACAAGGATCTGAAGCTCGAGAAGCTCTACGAGGACTACGAGCAGCAGTCCTACGACGAGATCATGGCCATGAAACCCATGGTCGAGGCGGCAGGCCTACCCTGGGCCGTGTTCGACATGTTCCTGAAGAAGGTCTACAAGCGCCAGAAGTGAGCAGCGAGGAGAGGCCGCCGCGGTGCCCGACCGCAAATTTTCTCGAGCAGGTTCACTTGGAGTCGCCCTTGGTCGGGGAGCGGATTTCGGGGAGCATGATCAGATGGCCGCTGCCCTTCGAGTCGGAGATAGACTACAGAATTGATCTACCCCAGAATCGATTTCCTCGTCGAATCTACTAGACGCGTAGCATGCTTCATGACTTCGACGAAAGTCCAGTTTTGGGGTACGTAAATGCTGTAGTCGATCCCCTACTCCCTTGCCCCATTCTCTCCTCTTTTGGACCCTCCTGGGCGGCGCTTGTAGCCACAGCCAGGAAGGTTCGGATTCACTATCGGAGGCCTATCGCCGATCTATCGGCGATGTATCGCAGATTCCAGGTCGATGTTTCCCCCCCTATTCCTATCCCCGCCCATCGTTTCCCCTCACATAAACGCTCGGCGGTCCGAGCGGATTCTTTTGGGATCGGCGCCAGGAGGTCCTCCTGGCGGCGCCTCCGGCGCCGCCCCTGGCTCGCTCCGCGCGCCAGGGATGGGGGGTCCAGCGCAGACCCAAGGAAGCTGCGCGGACCTGCGAGAAGACATGCTTGCGCCGTTTTTGTGTTGTTTGTTTCTTTTGTTTGTTCTTTGCTATCTATATATATATATATATATACATATAGATAGATGTATATATATACATATATATATACCTGTCTAGGAGAGGCCTCGGGCTGCTCACAGGCAGCCCCCTCAGGGAGCCCCAGCTGGGCTCAGCAGGCCCCCCGAGCAGTCCTGGGGGGCCTCCACGGGGCCCGGGGGTCACTCGGGGGCGGTCTATGCGCCGCCTCCGGCAGGCCCCCACTGGAGCGCTCCGCGCCCCAGGGCTGAGTCCAGCTGGGGCTACTCGGGGGCCTGTTGAGGCCAGCTGGGACGTAACTCGAGCTGCAGATGAGCTACCGAGCTGTTCGGCACAGCAATCGCCAGGAAACCATCAGGTACGCTATTTCAAAGTATCTAGACGCCTGAAATCAGTCTGCTATCAGCGCTGGGGCTGAACAACTATTCGTACTCTGATATGTTTTTTGAGATGGTAATGATTTTCTTGACATAACTCGACGACCTGAGGGGGGCTGTGCGCAACCCGAAGCCCTGCCAGCACAAGCTGGGTGAGGGTGGGGTCGATGTCGGTTCCTGGGAGCCTTGGGCTGCGACATCGGAATCAGATGTTCCTGCATTCGGGCCCCATCTGAACCACATTTTGGACCTTCCTCCTGCTCCTCCACGCCCTTCCGCTTCCTCCTCTCGTTCTTCTCGTTCTTCTGGTTGCTCTGGTGAAAGAGCGAATACAGTCCAAATGATCTGGTCCAGATCCGGCTCCACTGGTGCACATCCGGCACCAATCGGGCAGCCACGTGGGCCAAGCCGGCTCCCATGGAACAGACACTAAAGGTTGGCTGGGGTCTAGGCCTCCCAGATGGGGTCGGAGTAGATGGGGTCGAAGGTTTTGTCCGCATCGCCGATGAATCGGCGATGTGGCTCCATGCGGAGACCGAGATTCTTCATGCCGATGCCGCCGATGCACCGCCGACCTACCGGTGCATCGCCGACGCATCCTCGATGCATCGCCGATGCATTGGCGATGAGATGCCATCCTCCGGCCTCATATATGGACCCCCTCTACAGCCAACCCGGAGTAGTAGGTCGACCCTGCCAGCTCAAGGGTACCCCTGTGTCCTGTGCCTCGCGACACGTGCCTTCTCACACTCCTATGGCGATGTGGCCGTCGGAAGGGTCTTGTGCCCTCTCGCGTGTCCTGGCGTCCTGGCCAATCAATGCCGACTCTAGCAGCTCCTCTATGGGGAGGGGGGGATGCGCCGCCTCCGTCATGCCCCCCCCCCCTGCGCACTTGCGGGAGGGGGGCCGTGCGGCTCCCGCTGCGCGGGTGCGCTCTTGAGAGCGGAGGGGCGCACGGGGCGCGCCGCCGCGTGGAGCGCAGCTCGGTTAGGCCTGCGCGGGATCTTGCGTTTTCCGTCCCCCTCGCCCTCGGTCCTCCTCTGCGTAGGCCTCCTGCCCCAGTCCCCGTCCTGGCGAAGAACCCAGCCGCATGCAGTTGTGGGTGCCGCCCGCAGGTGTGGGCATCGTCTTCCGTGGAGCGCCCTATGCGCCGCGAGACGCTGTACTGGGTGGGGTGGGCGCATACGAACTTTGACGCTGGTGCTTTCGGTGGAGCTCCCCATGGGGCCACGAGGCGCTGAACTGGGTGGGGGGCGCATGCGAGCTGCGCCACTGGGACCTTCGGTAGAGCTCCCTGTGGGGCCACGAAGATTCGAACCGCACCGCTGGGACCTCCTGTGGAGCTCATTCTGGGGCCACGCAACGCTGTACTGGGTGGGGGAGACGCATGCGAACTGCGCCACTGTGACATTCGGTGGAGCTCGCTCCGGGGCCACGAAAGAGTTATATTGGGTCGGGGGAGACGCATACGAACTGCGCCACTGAGACCTCCGGTGGAGTTCCTATGGTGTCACGAAGCGCTGTACTGGGTGGCGGGGACGCATGCGGACTGCGACACTGGGACCTTCTGTGGAGCTCCCTGTGGGGCCACGAAGCGCTGTACTGGGTGGGGGGGACGCGTGCGAACTGCGCCATTGGGACCTTCGGTGGGGCTCCCTGAGGGCCCACGAAGCGCTGTAATGGGTGGGAGAGCGCATGCGAACTGCGCCACTGGGACCCTCGGTGGAGCTCCTTCTGGGGCCACGAAACGCTGCACTGGGTGGCTGGGACGCATGCGAACTGCACCACTGGGACCTTCGGTGGAGCTCCCTATGGTGCCACGAACCACTGTACTGGGAGGGTGGGGGCGCCACTGGGACCTTCAGTGGAGCTCCCTCTGGGGCCACGAAGCGCTGTACTGGGTGGGGGGGGGCCATACGAACTGCGCCACTAGGACCTTCGGTTGAGCTCCCTGTGGGGCCACGAAACGCTGCACTGGGCTGTGGGACGCATGCGAACTGCGCCACTGGGATCTTCCGCGGAGCTCCCAATGCGGCCACGAAGCGCTGTACTGGGAGGGGGGGACGCATGTGAACTGCACCACTGGGACCCTCGGTTGAGCTACCTCAGGGCCCACGAAGCGCTGTACTTGGGTGGGGGGAACGCATGCAAACTGCGCCACTGGGACCTGCCGTGGAGCTTCCTCTGGGGCCACGCTGCATTGGGCGGGGGGGGGACGCATGCGAACTGCACCACTGGGACCTTCGGTGGAGCTCCTTCTGGGGCCACGAAGCGCTGTACTGGGCGGGCGGGGACGCATGCGAACTGCGCCACTGGGACTTTCGATGGAGCTCCCAATGCGGCCACGAAGCGCTGTACTGGCTGGGGTGGGACGCGTGCGAACTGCGCCACTGGGACCTTCGGTGGAGCTCCCTGTGGGGCCACGAAACGCTGCACTGGGTGGCGGGGGCGCATGCGAACTGCGCCACTAGGACCTTCCGTGGAGCTTCCTCTCGGGCCACGAAACGCTGCACTGGGTGGCGGGGACGCATGCGAACTGCGCCACTAGGACCTTCCGTGGAGCTTCCTCTAGGGCCATGAAACGCTGCACTGGGTGGGGGGGAACTGGACGCATGTGAACTGCGCCACTGGGATCTTCGGTGGAGCTTCTTCTGGGCCCACGAAACGCTGTACTGGGAGGGGGGGAGCATGCGAACTGCACACTTGGACCTTCGGTGGAGCTCCCTTTTGGGCCACGAAACGCTTCACTGGTCTGCGGGGGCGCATGCGAACTGCGCCACTGGGACCTTCGTTGGAGTTCCCTCCGCGACCACGAAACGTGTGAGGGGTGTGCCAAAGTGAGGGGGTGACGGGATGAGGACGGAGCGAGAGGAGGAGGAGGAGGAGGAGGAGGAGGAGGAGGAGGAGGAGGAGGGGAGGAGGAGGAGGAGGAGGAGGAGGAGGAGGAGGAGGAGGAGGGAGGAGGAGGAGGAGGAGGAGGAGGAGGAGGAGGAGGAGGAGGAGAGGAGGAGGAGGAGGAGGAGGAGGAGGAGGAGGAGGAGGAGGAGGAGGAGGAGAGGAGGAGGAGGAGGAGGCGGAGGAGGAGGAGGAGAGGAGGAGGAGGAGGAGGAGGAGGAGGAGGAGGAGGAGGAGGAGGAGGAGGAGGAGGAGGAGGAGGAGGAGGAGGAGGAGGAGGAGGAGGGAGGAGGAGGAGGAGGAGGAGGAGGAGGAGGAGGAGGAGGAGGGAGGAGGAGGAGGAGGAGGAGGAGGAGGAGGAGGAGGAGGAGGAGGAGAGGAGAGGAGAGGAGAGTAGAGTAGAGAAGAGGAGGAGGAGGAAGAACGCGGGGCGCCGTCTCTTCAAAGCGAGGACCCAACACCACAGGATGGTTCGGATCATAAAATCATGACTGAATGGTTTTCGCACTTTTCGGTCTCTTGGGGCCCTTGCCGGGCCTCGGGACCGTGCAACAATTTCTTCAGGACGAAAAACCGGTCCCGGGGAATGGGTCGAGACCTCTGGGTGTCGACATCCTGGAAACAACATGCCGTCGGGTGTCTGCGAGATGCGGTCGGAGTTGATGGGATCGGAGGATCGCGCCGCATTGCCGATGCATCGGCGATGCGGTGCGATGACGGCGTCGCCGATACACCGCCGGCGTCGCCCATGCGTCGGCGATGCGGCGCGATCGTCCGATCCCATCTGCTCGGACCTCGCCGGGGAGGCCTCTTGCCCTCGCTTCCCCGCGCTCGCTTGCACACTCGTTCGCTAGACCTTTCCCTCCCCTGCCCGCCTCCGGGAATTCAACGCGCGCCAACGTGTGTACGCACTCGCATTTTTCTTACAGTGGAGCCGATGAGCACCCGCTGATTTCGAGTTATCATATGCGGCTGCCTGCGGCACAGCCCGCCACCAGTGCCAGCGCAGCAGCTCAGCAGGAGGGAGGGTGAGTCTCAGACCCGCGCAAGGACACTGCCCTTCTTGAACTGGCACCCCCTATTCGTCCGCAGTCTCGGTGTCTCTCTTCCTTCCTCGCCCTTTGCTCTTCCTCCCTCGGCTGCCTCACCTATCCTGGCAGCGTATTGGGAATCTCTTCAGAGCGTCCTGGGGCCCCACTCGTGGCCTCTGTTGGGCTTGTTGGTTGTCGTAGAGGACCTGTCTGTGGTACCCGTCTGTGGTATTAGGGCAATCTTGGGCGCAATCGTTCAACCCAGCTCTCTCGAGAAGGCTCGGTGTGTGACCAGTCCCGGGGAGCTATCGGGGCTGTCCTGTGCCTTGAGGGGTTCCTCGGGGCTGTCTGGAAGTTTCCCCGAAGCGATCTGAAGCCGAAGAGTCTCGAAGCGCAAAAACACAGCGGCGTTCCAAGAAGGTCCTTGCTTTCGAGGATCGGTGGAGTTGCGATCTCTTCCTCGGCGGAAGGCGGCGGAAGGTCGGCGGACGTAAAACGTGGCCGCCTCCGCCGGCGGAAGGCTGGCAGAAGGCGGCGGAAGTAAAGGATACACCCCCAAGAGATGGAAACGTTTTTGGGTTCAGGGCCTCCGAAATCGCCACCATGAATTTCTTCTTAGGCGAGTTCTTCAATGGTTGTTGCCTCAGGGCCCGGGGGGCTTCTCGTCGGGCGTCCCCTGGTGATGTCTATAGGCACAGCGCGGAGATGTTTGTGCAGTGTTGCAGCCGCTGTGGGACGGTATCTACAGTGCCGGTTGTTATACATGCTGCGCGTGCGGATCAGATTTTCAAAATGCAGGGTTTAGTTTTAAAACAACGATGAGTTCATGGGTACATTTATTCATACGTAAATCCGGTTTGTTGTTTGTTGAAAAATAGCAGCAACAACAACAATGACAAACAATAACAAAACACATAGTTTAAACATCCTATGAATTAAACATTGCCCTGTCCTGTCTCGGGGTCATTGGGTTCAGGTGCCAGAGAACCGCCAGGGCGGCAAAACCGGGGAGGCGATGTCGCAGGATGCCAGCCACGGGGCATGGCCGCCCCAGGAAGCTACACTGACCAGATCTCAGGAGGGGAAAAAACAAACAGACACAATTCATCATCGATTCCTCAGAAAATATGTGACGATATGGGAACTGGGGGGAAGACAGAAACCCAGAAAATGTAGCAACAATATGGGGAATCCTGTTATTTGTGTGCATTTATTTGTGTGTCTCAGGGCCCCTTCACAACAAGCCAGCAGGCTGACACGCCCCCATAGATACCGAGGGCACGGCGGCGGGTATCCGCGCCGTCAGCACGAGATCGCGAGGGCCAGAAGTCAAGGGCAACACGATGTTGCCCGCGTGATCGCGCAGTGGGCACGAAGCAGTCACGTTGTTTCTGGGATGGCGCGAAGGTTGTTCCGGCAAAGCAGCCGCTGCCGCATACTCTTTCTGCATCGTCTCGGCTTCGGCCCTCCCTACGTTCTCCCCCTCCTCGCCGCACGGTGCCTCTTCGCCGTCTCATGTGCGCCTCGCCCCCTTCATCCCCCTTTTATCGCCCATCGCGTGGAGGCAGAGGTTTCTGGACCAAGCGTTGATCTTTCTGACATCCAGCAGTTGTGATGTTTTGTTGCTTTGCTCATAGTTCGCACATGTTGGGATTGCATCGGCTATTTTGTCTCCACCCCCACTTGTTGTGGGGTCCGCGTTGCGTAGGACACTCGTCGCCCCTGGTTCCGCCTCTTGGCGTGTCCTGCACCTCGTCCTCCACTCTCTGCCTCTGCTTCTTCCGCTCCAGTATGTTTGTTCCCCAAACAGCTTGCCGAACGGGGTGCTGTTGTGACAGAATCGACTTCTGACCGAGGAAAAGGGGAGCAGAGACATCCTCAAAATATCTGGTAGTCTGGGCCGTTTCGCTTGAGACATCCTCACAACTTTCATTCTTGAGTTGTCCAGGATGGACAGTTTCGCTTGAGCCATCCTCGACAATCTGACATCCGGGACGCCGCGCGCGAGGTGGTCCGGGCCGTTTCCCCTGAGAAATTTTCAAATATCTGAGCCCCGAGATGCCGTGCGAGAGATAGTCCGGCGCGTTTCGCTTGAAGCATCCTCCCAATTCTGAGCTCTGGGACGCCGCGCGCGAGATGGTCCAGCGCGTGTCGCCTGAGACATCCTCACAGTTCTACATCCGAGATTGTGCGCGCGAGGTGGTCAGGCGCGTTTCGCTTGATACATACTCCCAATTCTAAACTTCGAGACGCCGCGCGCGAGGTGGTCTGGCGCCTTTCGCTCGAAACATCCTCTCAATTCTGAGCTCCAGGACGCCGCGCGCGAGGTGGTCCAGCGCGTTTCGCCTGAGACCTCCTCGCAGCTCTGAGCTCCGAGCTGCCATGCGAGAGGTGGTCCAGCGCTTTCGCCTGAGACATCCTCGCAACTCTGAGCTCCGAGCTGCCGCGCGAGAGGTGGTCTAGCGCCTGGCGCTTGAGACATTTTCGCATCCCTTAGCTCCGAGATGCTGCACGAGAGGCGGTCCAGCTCGTTTTGCATGAGACATCCTTGCAACTCTGAGCTCTGAGAAAATGTGCGCCAGGGTGTGTCGGGCCCGTCCCTACATGTGGAATCGAAGTTTAACGTATGGGAAAAGGGGGCCTCGTTCCTTATTTAGAGTTCCTTAGGTCAACGCCCCGACTGTAATCCGAGGGGGGGCCCATGCTGGAGCAAGTCGTAGAGAGGCCTCGAGCGAGGGCGATGCGAGCAGGGAGGAGGCAGGATTTTTTTGGGGGGGGATTGGGGAAGGGAGGAGGTGGTCCAGCTCGTTTCGCATGAGAGACACCCTGGCAGTGCTGAACTCCGAGACAATGTGCGCAACGTGGTCTGGCCCGTTTTGCTTGAGGTACTCTCGCAATTCGGGGCTCCGACATGCTGCGGACGAGGTGGTCTGGTTCGTTTTCGTTTCGCCTGAATCATCCTCGAAACCCTGGGCTCCGAGAGGGAGAGAGGAAGGAAACAGAGTCAGACCCATCCGAATCATGCGGCCGTGGACTTGGTAACACATCTGGTAACGCATCTTGGGTGCCCTGTATATCTTCGGAATTCTGTCCTCAGGGAGCGTCAGCGTGCGCTGGCGTCGGGTAATCAATGCAAAAGCGGCGATTTGGCGTCGACTCGCGCCGATTTGGCGTCGATCAGCGTCGACGATATTCAGTTGCTCAGCGTCGATTCGCAAGAGCCAGCAAGATCGCACGGGATGCTCCCATGCGTTGCCACCGGGCAGGAAGTGTTTCCCAAGCTTCCTTGGCAGTCACTTGCGGCGGCCCTTGGCCACGACTGCCCCCCCCCGTCGCCGCTCGGGCCGCAGGAGGACCTGCCGAGCAGGTCGCTCATCGTCACGCCTTGCGGCCACTGCTTCTGCGCCCGCTGCCTCGCGGCGCCTGGGCCGCTGCGGCAGTCCTCGGGGGTGGGGGGAGGAGCAGATTGACTCTAGACGAGAGTTGTGGGGGGGTTGGCAACGCCAACGAGAGGGCGTTAGGAGGTGCAATAGCTCGAGTTCGCTTGCTCGAGCTCGTGCGCAAACTATTGTCGGGGGGCGCGGGCTAGGGCGTGAACGGTTGCTTTTGAAAGACTACACGATTGCATCCACGCGCAGTTGTTGCGTCCGGTCCGCAAGTTGTTCCATCCATGTAAGATTTACAGCAAATGCTACTGCACCCAGCCCTGCCCCCCTGATCTGTGCACGCTAGACTCCATCCGCACAACAAGGATGGGCAACCTTCCCAAGGATACCCTTGCATCCTTCCCCTTCGGCCCATCCTTAACCACTTTCGCTAACCACGCCCCGCTCTCAAAGTGTCGACATGGCCCTCCAGGGCCCTGACATCCTTATCGTGCGTCCTTTTTTATACGAGATGACTGTACCCCCTTGCTCGGCTCCAAGGCAGGAACAGAAGAAGCAGCACAGGGGAGGAGCAGGCTACACAGTCAGGACGCTGAAACAAGGACCAGGTTCGAAAAGGGCCCTTGGTGGGAAGGAGGAAGATGGCCAGAGAAAGAGGAAGAGAGAGAGAGAGAGAGAATCCAACAGAAATCAGAGAGCAACACAAAGAGACGCGGGAGAGGGAGCAGGAAGCAACAGCCGCACCCGCGAGTGCGCCGCTGTATCCGCCGTTGCCTGGGGCCGCATCAGCATTCGACGGGAGCAAACACCATGCTACAAACGATGCGCTTCTCTCGGTTTCGCCTTTGGGCCCCCTGTGGGACCGCCCACGGCCGCATTCTGTTCGAAATCGCAGTCAGCACGCACCCTGGGACCCTCTCCTTCCCCTGAGGACCCTGAGGATGCGCTTCCACGCTTGCGCGTCCGCAAGGGCGGCTGCCGGCCGTGGGCTAGCTTGCGACTCGGTCCCACTGCGCCGCCGTCTTTTCTGCCAATACGGCAGGGGCGTTGGTTAAGGAATGTGCCCAGGGAGTCTCCAGACCCTGGAGGGCTCCTGATATGATACGGGCGGCGCTAATACCCACGGCGAATCCACGATTGGCCTTCCACTGGCTTCCAGACCCTGGATTCCTTTTCGAAGGTTTCCTTATCCAACGCCATCACCGTGTTGAGCCGAGCCGCCCCACAGGCCGGCGGAAGCAGTCCGCGCGAAATACTCAGGGCGCCAGAGACGGGGTCACAGGAAACGGGGGCACGGGGAACGGCGACTTCCACGCCTGGCGACGCCCATGTCTGAGGGGATCCCGAAAGATGGAGCCGAGCGTCTCTGGGGGCCCCCGGGGAGCGGAGAGCTCGTTCGGGGCTGGCCACGGCCCGCGCGGCGCCGGAGATCCAGGATCCGCGTGATCAAGAGGAGAGCCCAATAGCAGCAGGCACCTCAAATGATTGGCGGCGGGGGAAGGGGGGGAAGTGAGAAGGGGCGTGCCTGCTCAGAAGGCTCGGAAGCCCCCCTGCCTTCGCAGAAGTTCTTGGAACCTTCCCCGAAGACACAGAGAACATCTCAGAACGCGCGAGGGCTTCTCAGAAGTCCCGCCGCCTTCTGAGAGGACCTTTTCCTTATCATTTCCCCCTCTCGCTCCCCGCCAAAATCAGACACCGGCCTCTCGGCAGGGGCCCCATGGAAATGTGGATGCGGGAAGGATGCGGAGAAGGATGCAGGAAGTATGCGGTGTACGGGAACATTTGGAGAAATCCGTGCATCGTCGGCAGAATCCGAACCCTACCTTCGCCGATCCACGATTCAGGCAGCTCGATGTGCAGCAGGGGTAGGGTTCGGGATTCGCCGAAGGCGTAGCGGATTTCGAACCCTACCCCCGCCGCCCGTCGATCCAGGATAGTCGATGGTTGGTGGGGGCAGGGCTCAGATGTCGCCACCTACTGCGACGCCTGTCGATTTACCCAGCAGCGCACGATCTGTACGTTCTCCGCCTGATGGTCTGGCGCTTACTGGCCGGCTGACGCGCTAGGGCAGTCATATTGCAGTCCTCTTACACGCTGGGGGAGGAGAAGGAGGAGGAGGCGGAGGAGGAGGAGGAGGAGGGGGAGGAGGACGAGGAGGAGGACGAGGAGGAGGACGAGGAATAGGAGGAGCAGCAGGAGGAGGGCAATCATATTGCAGTCCTCCTCCACGCTGGGGGAGGCTCGGGGGCCCCCAAGCAGTGCGGGGACCACACCGTGTGGTGAGTCCGCGGGGATTCCGGAGGACCGCTCGGTTTTGGGACGTATTGGGCCGTTCTCTGAGGACGTCTCGGGGGACCGGGGCCTCCAGGCTCTGGACACCGTGCGGTGACGGACCGTGCGGCGAGCTCCTCCGTTTTTTTCCAGGACACCGCACGGCCCGTCACCGCACCACTCTCTGGGCCTCTCCCAAGAGGTCGGGTGGTGGTCGCTGCATAGATCGGCCGCGAGCGAGGGGGAGAAGTGAGAAGGGGCGGGTCTTCTCAGAAGCCTACAGTCGGGGCGCTGAAGAAGGAACCCTGTGCGTTTGGGAGGGGCTCAGTATTCCTTAGCTGTTTTGCAGTTTTCCTTCGGTGTTCCTTTGGTTTTCGATGGGCAATGGAGCTTAACTTGTGGAGAAAAGGGGCCTCGATCCTTATTTAGGGTTCCTTAGGTCAACACCCCGACTGTATGAATTTCCCCGGCCCTCCGAGAAGTTACCCAGGCCTTCCCTGAAGGCACGGGGCACGTCTCTGAAGGCCGGTGGGCTTCTGAGAAGCTCCGCCGCCTTCTGAGAGGGCCTTCTCCTTCTCATGTTTCCCGCCTTCGCTCGCCGCCGAAAGAAGAGACCGGCCTGTCGGCAGGGGCCCCACGGAAGTGCATCATTCTGCGATCGCCCTCGGATCCCTCGGAGGCCCTAACCAGGACACTCCGGGAAGATACAAGCTCGATGACCATTGTGCCCCTACGGCAGGTTCGCGTCGTTTCGACTGGCAACGACCCCGCCGCCCGCGTTCAACGTTGAACGACGCTGTCGACGAACGATCCGACGCTTCGGAAACAGCCGATCTTGCAAGGTTGAGCGATCCTCGCGGTGTCAAAAATCAACGCCGTAGTCAGCGCGACACAAACCTGCCGTAGAATGCCTGCATCACTGTGGATGACGACCAATGGAGAGGGAGCATGTTGCCAAATAATTTCCAGATGTGTGAAACTTGTTTTAAACATGTACAACACATGGTTCAACATGCTGAGAACATATTTCCGACATATTAATTCAACACATCTTAAATTCAACGGTGGGACTGTTAGGGAGTCCATTGTCGTGGCATGTACGCGCGGGCCCACGCCCCGCGCATTGTGAGAGAAGGCGCATGCCCTCGCGGCGGGCGGCCGGGGCCTCCCAAGAGAAGGGTGGAGGGAGGGAGGAGGGGGAGGAGGGAGGGGGGAGGAGGGAGGAGGGAGGAGGAGGAGGAGGAGGAGGAGGAGGAGGAGGAGGAGGAGGAGGAGGGGAGGAGGAGGAGAGGAGAGAGGAGGAGGAGAGGAGGAGGAGGAGGAGTAGGAAGGAGGAGGAGGAGGAGGAGGAGGAGAGGAGGAGGAGGAGAGGAAAGGAGGAGGAGGAGGAGGAAGAGGAGGAGGGGGAAGGAGGGGGAGGAATGGAAGAGGAGGAGGACGAGGAGGAGGAGGAGGAGGACGAGGGAGGAGGCAGGAGGAGGGAGGAGGACGGAGGAGGAGGGCGAGGAGAAAGAGAGAGAGAGAGAGAAATAGAGAGAGAGATACTGAGAGAACACGAGGACACGTGCGAACGCGAGGAAGGCGACCAACGGGCCGCTTGTGGTCCTTCATACGGGAGCCTCAGAGGCTCCTCAACATTTCCTGGCGCCTGGGGGGATGTCGCCCGGGCTTCGTCGGATCTCGTCTCCACCTGGACGAAATGCAAGAGGGAGGAGTCGCCACCCGGACCCGACCATTGGCGTTTGCTACACGGCCCTGGGCGTTTCCTATACAGCCCTGCCCGGCTTGATTCCCCCTTTGGGTGTGCTTACTGAGCGGCTCCTCGAGGTGGATGCACCGAGGTGGATATCCTCGAGGTGGATATCCTCGAGGTGGATATCCTCGAGGTGGATATCCTCGAGGTGGATGCACCTGCCCTCCTAGGCGTGCGGACGACGCCCGGCCGAGCTGCGGCCGAGATGCCGCGGCCGCGGCAGGGCCGCGGAGGCCTTCGCAGCGGCTCCCACGGGGGCTCGCCCCGTGGGGGGGGGCCGTGCTCGAGAGAGAGGGCGACCGACCCCCCGCCGAGCCGAGGGGGGGGGGGGGAGGGTAGGTCCTGCAAGGCCTGCGGCCAGCCCCTGAAGGAGGGCGACCTGGAGCCCCTGGCGCGGAGCCTGACGCAGGCCAAGGACCCCGCCGTGCTCCCGCGGGCCGAGGGGCTGCCAAGGCCGAGAGGGAGCAGGGGGAGGAGGCGGAGGAGGAGGAGGAGGGGGAGGAGGAGGAGGAGGAGGAGGGGGAGGAGGAGGAGGAGGAGGAGGAGGAGGAGGAGGAGGAGGAAGAGGAGGCTCAGCACGTGGTTGGAGAGCGCGGCATGCTAGCTCCGCTCAGACCTTGTATGCCTCTGTTGGGACTGGGCTTCTGTGATTCTGGCTGCTTCCGCGGCAAGAAAATCCTGGAGCCTCAGTGGGGGGCTCGGGAAAGAGAAGGTGCTCTGAAAGAGGACTCCTGGTGTTTCCCCAAGCAGGGAAGGTTCCTCTGCGTCTTGTCCCCCGTTCTCTTGGAACCTTGGCAGCCTTTTTTGAGCTCTCGAGCTCTCGCACATAGGATTCGTTGTAATTGTTGCAGCCAGAACGCATCACCATCACATTCGGATTCTGCTTTAGACGGGCAACAGGAAAAAAACTTGTGGCTCTGGGGGTCCGAGGCGATGTGGGACACGCAACTGTAAGTCATAGCTCTTGCAGGCCTCATCCGTGCGAGACGCATGCATTCGGTCAGAGCATCTGGGACCTGTAGTTCCACTCCCAGGAGTGGAGGACTCTGGGACCGAGGGACCGAGAGATCTGGCTGAGGAGGAGCCTCGCCAGTCCAAACCGCACGGGCGCTGCTGGCTCCTACTGCTATGGGCTGGGCCACTGTTGTGCCCAGAGAGGCGAAAGCCTTTTGCTGGTCCTAGGGCCCACATGCTCCCACAGACTGAAAGTCATAGCAACGTGCCTGAACCACCTCGCCAGGCGAGCATTGCCGCTGGCAGCCTCTTCTGAGTCGCTGGCCGAGGGACGCTGCAACATCTGAGCTCCTAGTTTCGCACACTTGTCGGCAACATCGTTTCCAGGGGTATCCGGCCGCGCGCGCGTCCGAGGCCTGGGTGAAACCACTTAGGCTCTGGCGAGCTTCGACGTCATCAAACATGACTCCTCGATGCCGGTTGCCTGGTCTTCAGGCCAGCATGGCAGCACCGGAGAACATTGTCTTGCGCCTCTGGAGCTCTCGATATATATATATATATATATATGTATACATATGTATATATGTATATTTATATATGTATATACACATATATATATTTACATATCGATCTATAGATGTATATATACATATATATATATATATACATTTACATCTATGACGCCTTGCTAGTCAGTGATTGTCTTGTGTAACAATGAAGTGAGGGGAACAGGAGGAGACAGCAGCAAGCACAGCAAGGTGCTCCGCGGATGGGGGGGATTGGGGGAGGTTGCGACCGACTGGGCCGAACAGTGCTGCTACCATGCCACCCTCGGGATTGGCGGTGGCTGCTGCATGTCCTGCTCTGTGGCAATCTTGGGGGGGCCCTGCCTCAAACAGGATCCGTCGGTGCAAACCTTACCTTTCAAAACCTCAGAGATGGGCACGTTATCCTTGGTCCACTCCTCGCTCTGGAGTGGGCCAAGGCCCTGGGGAGCTCCTGTGGACCACTCTAAACCTTCCAGGAAACCAGCCTGGAGCGGAAACCGACGCCTGCTGTTGCTATCTCTCCCCTGCCCTGGACGGCGACAGCAATACACCGACATCGATCTTGGCCCAGGCCAATTCCAGGCCCTGGGCTGCTGTTGCCGCCCTTCTGGCATGACCAGGACGGCGTGCACACCTATCCTGGGCCCAGGACGGGTCTGGCCATGATCGGCGTAGGTGTATGGTCGCCGTCGCCCGACTGCTCCCGCTGCTGTCGGTCGCTGCTGCCATCGCTGTGTTGCCGCCTGCTCCCGCGCCCCGCGATTCTTGCAGGTGAGGGAGGGCGGGCGTCTTGGCGCTCGGGAAGGGCGTGCTGCCGTCTTCCATTCTCGTGTTTGGGATGCAATTCCTGGGAGGTTCCATTCACCATCGCCGCTGGTGTATCCGTGGCCGAAAACCAGCCTAATGCGGGATAGTTGCATGCAGTTCCGCGCAATCCCGCGTCCTGTGGGTCAATCCGGCCCACTCCTGGGTTGAATTTGGGCTTATCTGGCCTTGTGGCTCCTCAAGCGGGCTTTGCAGCCCTTACTCGTTCTTGCGAAGGCCTCCCAGAAGCTGCCTCCCGACCTTTTTTTTTCGGGCTGTGCAATCTGCGCGCCAGCTCCACAGTATCGTATCCCCCCGTCCCTGGGCCTCCGCAGCCGCCGCCGTCTCCGTCGTCTTGGGCGCAGTCGTAGACATCGTCGCCGCCGCCGTCGCCGTCACCGTCCTCGTCCTCGTCGCTGTCGCCGCCCAGTCGCCGCCCCGGTGGCCGCCGTCGCCGTCGGCGCCCGCCCCCCGCCTCGGGGGCGAGGGGCGGGGCGCGGAGCCCGCGGCCGCGGCCGCAGGAGCAGTTTCAGGGCAGCGGCGCCGCGGGGGACGAGGCCCCGCGGGGGGCCCCCCGCGCGATGGGGCGAGCCTCGTGGACCACGCAGCGGCAGAAGCGTTCGGAGGCCCCCGCGGGGTCGGCGCTGGACCAGCTCCACCCCCCGGGCGCGCTCCGCGCGCGGGGCGCCTCGGACCGCCCAGAGGCCATATGCGCATGGACTCCTCCTCCTCCTCCTCCCTCCTCCTCCTCCTCCTCCTCTCCTCCTCTCCTCTTCGTCCTCCTCCTCCTCCTCCTCCTCCTCCTCCTCCTCCTCCTCCTCTTCCTCCTCCTCCTCACCGGAAGGCAGCGGGCCTTCCGCCCCCGTTCGCTCTCTCCCCGCCCCCCCTCCCCCCGTGCCGCGTGCGCCGTGCCGCGCTGGCCTCCCCCCCATGACATTTGGACGTCGTCGGTGCTCGCGCCCGGGAGAGGGGCACGGTGCACGCACGGCTGCTCGGCCCTCGGGAGCAGAGGCACCCCGCACGCCTTGCTGGAGCGAGGCCGGGTGGCAGTCCATACGGGGCCTCGGGGCTGCCAGAAAACGACTCTAGAGGAAAGGCGGCCCTGGGGCATGGGTCGAGACCTCTGGGGGTCGACGTCGCGAACATCAGCATGGCGTCGGTGGTCTGGGACTGACGTCCGCGCGCGTCGTGAACACATCACGCCAGTGGGTCTTTCGTTCAGTGTTCGGGCTCTGGGGGGCCCTCGCTGGGCCCTGGGACCATCAAGACATATCTCGGGGCGTGGAAACGGACCCTGCTAGAACATCGGAACATTCCATGTATGGGATTCTTCCTTTCTCTCTCGTTTGATCTGTCTCGCTCTCTCCCTCCCTATCTCTCTCTGGCCGGCCCAGTTGGTACGTCTTGGTTAGTTTTGCAGGTGGTGACCACAATTATGCTTGGCATTGTTTCGAAACGCGCTTGCTAGATGTGCGCTTGCGCGCCGCTTTGCACTGTCCGGCATGATCACGTGGAGAGTCGGTACCGCTTTGTCTGAGATGGCCGCGTTCCATGTGCAGCATGAACGATCGTGCACCGTAGGCTACACGGGAAGCAAGCACCTTGAGGGGGGGCGTTAAGTCGAACCTCGGCATGAGAGTTCTGTACGAGAAATCACACGGTGCTGGTCACAGGAACAGAGTTTCCAAATGGTGCGCTGGAGCGGCGGGGGGGGGTCAGACGCGGCGGAGGGTCGGGGCGGCATCCGGGCTAGAAATTGTAGAGCGGATGGTCCCAAGAACAGAGTGTCCAGAGGGTGCGCTGGGAGGTGGGGGGGGTCAGAAAGGAGGGACCCAAGGGATGCGCTGGAGGGGTCGGGGATCAGGCGCGGTGGGGGTCGGGCTGGTTCCCAGGAGAGAAATGACAGGGTGCGTTGTCCCACGGCAAAGAGTTCGCTTGAGAGGTGGGAGGTCAGGTGCGGTGGGGGTCGGGGCAGGTGCCCAGTGAGAATTTGCAAGGTGGGGTGTCCCAAGAACAGAGGTGCCGTGCCAAGGGATGCGCCTGTGGTCAGACACGGCGGGGTCGGGGCGGCTTCCGGGCCAGGAATTGCAGGGTGAGTGGTCCTAGGTAGCGAGTTTCCGAGGGGTGCGCCGCGCTGGTGGGGCGGGAGGTGTCAGACGCGGTGGAGGTCGAGGTTGTCCCAAGGACAGAGTTTCCTTCGAAGGGGTGCGATCGAGGGGTGGGAAGTTAGACGCGGTGGGGGGTCGGTGTGGGTTCGATGCGAGCATGGCGGGCGTTCCCAAAAACACAGTTTCCAAGGGCGGTGGGGGCTGGGGTAGGTTTCGGGCGAGAACTTCAGGGCGGGCGTTCGTAAGAACGGAGTTTCCAACGGGTGCGCTGGAGGGGTTGGGGGACTAGACGCGGTGGCGGTTGGGGCGGCTTCTGGGCGAGAAATTGCAGGGTGGTTGGTCCCAAGATCTGAGTTTCCAAGGGGTGCGGTGGGTGGGCGGTCTCCAGGAGTTTCCGAAGGTTGCGCTGAGGAATGGGGAGGTCAGATGCGGTGGGGGTCGGGGTAAGGTCCAGGCGAGCAATTGCAGGCTGGGTGGTTCCAAGAGCGGAGTTTCCAAGGGGTGCGCTGGAGGGGAGGGAAGGTCAGACGCGGTGGGGGTCGGGGTAGGCTCCAAGCGAGAACTTGTAAGGTGGGTAGTCCCAAGAACATTTCCCAGGGTGTGCGCCTGAGGAGTGGTGGGGTCAGAGACAGCGGGGGTCGGGGTGTGTTCTGGGCGACAGTTTTTTGAAGCGGGTGGCCCGAAGCACAGAGTTTCCAAGGCGTGTGCTGGAGGGGTGGGGATGTTTGACGCGGTGGTGGGTCGGGGTGGCTTTCGGGGGAGACATTGCAGGGTGGGTGGTCCCAAAGACAAACTTTCCAAGAGGTGCGCGTTAGAGTTGGCGGCGTCAGACGTGGTGGGGGTCGGGGCGGTTTGCGATGGGCGTCCCAAAAACTGAGGTGTCGAGAGGTTCGCCGGAGGTGCGGGGTGGTCAAACACGGCGAGGTCGGGGCGGGTTCCGAGCGAGAAATTACAGGGTGGGTCGTTTCAAGGAAATGAATTGTCAAGGGGTGCGCTGGGTAGGCGGAGATGGTGAGACACGGCCAGTGTCGGGGCGGGTTCCGAGCGAGAAATTGCAGGGTGGGTTGTCCCAGAAGCCGAGTTTCCAAGGTGTACGCTGGAGAGGCAAGAGGGGTTATACGCGGTGGAGGCCGGGGTGGGTTCCGAGAGAGTTGGGTGGTCCCAAGAATAGAATTTCCAAGGGGTGCGTTTAGAGGGTTGGGGGGTCAGATGCGGTGGGGAACGGGGTGGATTCCATGCGAGAGATTGCCAGCGGGGCGGCCCAAGAACAGCGTTTCCAAGAGGTGCGCTGGAGGGAAGAGGGGGGTCTGACGAGGTGGGGATCGGGGCGTGCCCGGACGAGAAATTGCAGGGTGGGTGATCCCAAAACAAGATTTCCAAGGGATGCGCTCGAAGGTCGGTGGGGGGCGTCAAGTCTAACCTCGGCATGAGAGTTCTGTACGAGAAATCACACGGTGCTGGTCACGGGAACAGAGTTTCCAAAGGGTGTGCTGGAGCGGCGGGGGGGGTCAGGCGCGGCGGAGGGTCGGGGCGGCATCCGGGCTAGAAATTGTAGAGCGGATGGTCCCAAGAACAGCGTGTCCAAAGCTGGGAGGTGGGGGGGGGTCAGAAAGGAGGGACCCAAGGGATGCGCTGGAGGGGTCGGGGATCAGGCGCGGTGGGGGTCGGGATGGTTCCCAGGAGAGAAATGACAGGGTGCGTTGTCCCACGGCAAAGAGTGCGCTTGTGAGGTGGGAGGTCAGGCGCGGTGGGGGTCGGGGCAGGTGCCCAGTGAGAACTTGCAAGGTGGGGTGTCTCAAGAACAGAGGTGGGGGGGAGGAGGAGGAGGAGGGGGGGGAGGAGGAGGAGGAGGAGGAGGAGGAGGAGGAGGAGGAGGAGGAGGAGGAGGAGGAGGAGGAGGGGAGGAGGAGGAGGAGGATGCGCCGGAGGTGCGGGGTGGTCAGGCACGGCGGGGTCGGGGCGGCTTCCGGGCCAGGAATTGCAGGGTGAGTGGTCCTAGGTAGCGAGTTTCCGAGGGGTGCGCCGCGCTGGTGGGGCGGGAGGTGTCAGACGCGGTGGAGGTCGAGGTGGTCCCAAGGACAGAGTTTCCTTCGAAGGGGTGCGATCGAGGGGTTGGAAGTTAGCCGCGGTGGGGGTCGGTGTGGGTTCCGTGCGAGTTGGGCGGGCGGTCCCAAAAACACAGTTTCCAAGGGCGGTGGGGGCTGGGGTAGGTTTCGGGCGAGAACTTCAAGGCGGGCGATCGAAAGAACGGAGTTTCCAACGGGTGCGCTGGAGGGGTTGGGGGACTAGACGCGGTGGCGGTTGGGGCGGCTTCTGGGCGAGAAATTGCAGGGTGGGTGGTCCCAAGATCTGAGTTTCCAAGGGGTGCGGTGGGTGGGCGGTCCCCAGGAGTTTCCGAAGGTTGCGCTGAGGAATGGGGGGGGTCAGACGCGGTGGGTGTCGGGGTAAGGTCCAGGCGAGCAATTGCAGGCTGGGTGGTTCCAAGAACGGAGTTTCCAAGGGGTGCGCTGGAGGGGAGGGAGGGTCAGACGCGGTGGGGGTCGGGGTAGGCTCCAAGCGAGAACTTGTAAGGTGGGTGGTCCCAAGAACATTTCCCAGGGTGTGCGCTTGAGGAGTGGTGGGGTCAGAGACAGCGGGGGTCGGGGTGTGTTCTGGGCGACAGTTTTTTGAAGCGGGTGGCCCAAGCACAGAGTTTCCAAGGCGTGTGTTGGAGGGGTGGGGGAGTTAGACGCGGTGGTGGGTCGGGGTGGCTTTCGGGGGAGAAGTTGCAGGGTGGGTGGTCCCAAAGACAAAATTTACAAGCGGTGCGCGTGAGAGTTGGCGGCGTCAGACGTGGTGGGGGTCGGGGCGGTTTCCGATGGGCGTCCCAAAAACAGAGTTGTCAAGGGGTTCGCCAGATGTGCGGGGTGGTCAAACACGACGGGGTCGGGGCGGGTCCTGAGCGAGAAATTACAGGGTGGGTCGTTTCAAGGAAATGAATTGTCAAGGGGTTTGCTGGGTAGGCGGAGATGGTAAGACACGGCTGGGGTCGGGGAGGGTTCCGAGCGAGAAATTGCAGGGTGGGTTGTCCCAGAAGCCGAGTTTCCAAGGGGTACGCTGGAAAGGCAGGAGGGGTTATACGCGGTGGAGGCCAGGGTGGGTTATCAAATTTCAAAATGGTGCGTTTAGGGGGTTGGGGGGTCAGATGCGGTGGGGAACGGGGTGGGTTCCATGCGAGAGAGTGTAAGGGGGGCGACCCAAGAACAGCGTTCCCAAGAGGTGCGCTGGAGGGAAGAGGGGGGTCTGACGAGGTGGGGATCGGGGCGGGCCCGGACGAGAAAATGCAGGGTGGGTGGTCCCAAAACAAGATTTCCAAGGGATGCGCTGGAAGGGCTGTGGGGGACGGGGTGGGTTCCGGGCGAGAAATTGTAGGGTTGAGAATTCTACGGTGAGTGGTCCCAAGACCAGAGTTTCCAAGGGGTGCGCCGGGAGGTGGGGGGGTCAAGCGCGGTGGGGGACGGGGTGGGTTCTGGGCGAGAAATTGCAGGGTGGTTTATCTCAGACGCAGAGTTTCCAAGGGGTGCGGTGGAATGGCGGGGGAGGGTCAGACGCGGTGGGGATCGGGGCGGGTTCCAGGGGAGAAGTTGCAGGGTGGCTGGTCCCAAGAACAGATTTTCCAAGGAGCGGGCGGCGGAAGGGTCAGACGCGGTGGGTGTTCGGGGTTGGGGCCCGTGCGAGAAATGGCACGGTGGGTGTCTCAAGAACATCGTGTCCAACGGGTGCGCTGGAGGGGTGGGGAGGTCAGATGCGGGGAGGGGTCGGGGTAGTGCCCGTGCGAGAAATTGTTCGGTGGGCGGTCCCATAACCAAGGTTTTCAAAGGGGTGCGCTGGAGGAGCTGTGGGGTCAGACGCGGGGGGTGTCGGGGAGGGCAGAACCCCCAGGACGGCGCGCGGGGGGGTCGGACCAGGTGGATGCGTGGTGGGGGGCCAGATTCAGGAGGGGAAAACACACACTGACACATCTAAACGTCGATTCCGCAGAAATATTGGAAAATATGGGAAGTGGGGGGAACGACAAAACAACGAAACTACTGGAATATATGGGGAATCCTTTTATTTGTGTGTATTTGTTTGTGTGTCCCAGGGCCCCTTCACAGATGGAAACCTGTATGGGGCAAGGTGAATGCGTGGTGGGGGGTCTGGGTCGGTTCGGGGCTCGAGATTGGCATGCGGGCATGACCGAAAACAGGGCCCCCAGGACGGTGCTGGGGGTCGGACCCGGCGGAGGCGCGGCGGGGAGCGAGGTGGAGACCTGGTGAGGGCGAGGCTGGGGGCGTGGTGGAGATCAGGGTCGTCCTGGCTAGGAATTGCAGGGTGGGGGGGCCCAACGACAGAGCTCCCAGGACAGTGGTGGGGCCGGACCAGGTGGAGGCGTACTCGGGGACGAGGTGGGGACTTGGTGGACGCGAGGTAGAGACGCGGTGGGGAGTCAGGGTCGGCTCCGGGCCAGGAATTGTCGAATAGGGGGCGTCGAGAACAGAGAACAATAATTCCCAGTTCGCCCGCGCACGCCTCTGGATCGGCAGATGTGTAAACTCAAGCATGCATTAGATACGTGTACTTGTGTATGTATATATAGGAATCTACAGCTGCATGCGCGCACACACACACACGAGCATATATGTATGTATGCATACATATGTACACAGCTCCATTTATTAGGCATGCAGAAGTACAAACATGTTTAGGCAGCTCTCCCCCAGCACCTATGTGACAGTTGTGTTGTTCCGTTCCTCCTTTTCCTCCTCGTTGTTTCTGTCTCTCAATCTCTCTCTCTCTATGTTTCTGTATCTCTCTCTCTCTCTATCTTTCTCGTTGTGTCTCTCTCTCTCTCTCTCTTTGTCTCTCTCACTGCCTCTCTCTCTCTCTCTCTTTTCTTCTCTCCGTCTCTCTTTCTCTCACTTTCTACGCTGTTTCTCTCTATCCCTCTCTCCCTATCTCTCTCGTTTTTGTTTGTTCTCTCTCTCTCTCTTTCTCTTTTTATCTCTCTCTCTCTCTCCCTCTCTCTCTCTCTCTCCCTCCCAGGGACCCTACACAACCCCAGTGAAAGCACTGGGTGTGCGATGTCAGGCGTGCGGACATCCTGTGTTGTCATTCGGAAGTGTTGTATTTTGGCGCTGAGAAGTGGGGAAACTATGCGTTCTCATTCGGTTGTTTGGGAGCTCCGTGGCACGGGTTCGGTTGGATTATCTTCTCCCCCTGCACTTGTATGCCCGCGAAGCCAATGCAGGCCTCGAGCTGCCCCAACAGACGCCTCGATCATGACTATGTCCGCCTGGCGATCTTACGCCCACCGACCCTGGCACAAGAAGGCCCGCCGGGGCCGAGTGTACCAGTGCCGAGGGCGGACCGGATGGCCGGACCTCGGGCAGCAAACGACGAGGGGCATCCTTCGACTAGACGTAAGAGTGACCTTTCGCCGGAGTGACCTTTGGTGCGGGCACAGTGGGGTTCCCCGATCGCCGAAGGCGATGTGCGATGGTGGCGCCTTGCGCGCCTGTGTTTGGCCCCCCCGCGGCCCCCCAAAAGCCGCGCACCAAAGGTTACTCTTAATGGAGGATGACGATCAATAAATGACCAGGGGTCGTGTTCACGCGGCGGCGCCCGGGATGACGATTGGACAAAACCGGCCGCGGGCTGGAAAACTATGTTTTAATCGTTCTCCTCCAGTCAGAAATTGGTGCAGAAATAGCAGAAGACTATGTTTTTATTCGTTCTCCCCCATTCTTTGTATGAATCGTCATCCCGCATTACCCAGGGTCACTCCTGCGTGCAGCCGAATCCTGGCAGCCGGCCATCTGCGCCGTAGCACCCCGCGCGCGAGCGCCGCAGCACCACGCGCGCGAGCGCGCCGCACCACGCGCGCGTCCGGGGCACCCCGCCCGCCGCGGCGCGCGGCGCTGGGACGGCCGCGGCCCGCCGCAGGTCGAGGTGAGCGAGGGCAGCGCGGCGGAGCGCTCTGACGGCGGGCGCTTCCTGAAGCGGTTCGGCACCAAGCTCGCGGTGCTGGTGGAGAGGCTGCAGGCGGGGAGGAGGAGGAGGAGGAGGGGGAGGAGGAGGAGGAGGAGGAGGAGGAGGAGGAGGAGGAGGAGGAGGAGGAGGAGGAGGAGGAGGAGGAGGAGGAAGGGGAGGAGGAGGAGGAGGAGAAGCAGGAGGAGGAGGAGGAGCAGGAGGAGGAGGAGGGGGAGGAGGAGGAGCAGGAGGAGGAGCAGGAGGAGGAGCAGGCGGAGGAGGAGGGGGAGGAGGAGGAGGAGGAGGAGGAGCAGGAGGAGAAGCAGGAGGAGGAGGAGGAGGAGGAGGAGGAGGAGGACAACCTCCGCACGCAATGGAGAACCGACCACGGCGACACCGCACGGTGCTGGTGGCGTGCGCCAGGATCTGCACCGCCTGTGCCAGTCGACCCGCAGGGTAAGGGCAGGCAGCCCTCCCGAGGGTACCCTTGCATCCTGGCTTCCTGGGGCCATCCTTGGACACTGTCGTTGGCCGCGCCCCGCCCGAAACGCTGCGAGATGGGCTTCCAAGGCCCTTGCATCTTTATCGCGCATCCTAACTCTACGGGTTGACTGTACCAGACCACCCCGACCCGACCCGAGGGCTCCAGTTTGGGCCCCCTTTCCCAGCGGGTGGTGGGGGGCGTCGGGGAACATGGAAGAATCACATGTGGAATCCGTACCACCCCCCCAACCTTACGGCGGGCCTGTCCCTCTACATGAGGCGTATCCAAAGATAGTCTAAAGAATCGAGTCTGGGGACTACTTTTTCACTAGTTTTCACAATTTTGGGAGCATGTTTGGGGTATTTTCATTTTTCGCCTAACATCCCCCTGTGGGGGACCTAACCCCAACCCGAAGTTCGGATCTTCGGGTCGGTTTGGGTGGTCTGGTAGGCAGCCAAGGATTGCCCGGATGGCCCCGGCCACCCGCTGGGGCTCACGAAGCTCAGACCGCGCCCCACCCTCCGCGCCCTAAGCTGCAGGGTGGAGGCATGGGACGAGAAGGCCCGAGGGTCGACAGGAATGAAGGCAAGGAGGAGGAGGAGGAGGAGGAGGAGGAGGAGGAGGAGGAGGAGGAGGAGGAAGAGGAGGAGGAGGAGAAGAGGAGGAGGAGGAGGAGGAGGAGGAGGAGGAGGAGGAGAGGAGGAGGAGGAGGAGGGAGGAGGAGGAGGAGGAGGAAGGGGAGGAGGAGGAGGAGAAGCAGGTGGAGGAGGAGCAGGAGGAGGAGGGGAGGAGGAGGAGCAGGAGGAGGCAGGAGGAGGAGCAGGCGGAGGAGGGGGAGGAGGAGGAGGAGGAGGAGGAGCAGGAGGAGAAGCAGGAGGAGGAGGAGGAGGAGGAGGAGGAGGAGGAGGAGGAGGAGGGAGGAGGAGGAGGAGGGGAGGAGGAGAGAGGAGGGGCGGAGGAGGAGAGGGGAGGAGGAGGAGGAGGAGGAGGAGGAGGAGGAGGAGGCGGAGGAGGAGGAGGAGGAAAAGGTTCGGAGGAGCTCAGGGTGGAGCATGTGCCACGGCCCGCAGCCCCCAAAGCCGCGCGCACGCCTCGGGCGGCGTGCGATATGGCCCACGGCGGCTTCGGGCTGCAGGCGCAGCGGGCTGCGGGCGCCTCGGGCCTCGCGCTGCTGCAGGGCGGCTCCTCGGGGTGGCGCGCGGCGGATCGCTGAGATGCGGCTGGCCCGGCGGCACCACGAAGGCCCCCTCGGATTGCCGGGCATGTCCCCTCAGAGGCAGATCTCGGAGGACAGATGTTCGAATAGTCCATGAGAAACACACATTGCTAAACATACTAGCACAATCGTCCCCGGAAACCGTTTTGATTATTTTTAACATGTACCTCCTCTACAGGGACATGCCCGACTTGACCCTACGATCGCTCTCCGTGGCGGCGGGGGTGCCTGAGGGCAGCGGGCCCCACGGCGCTTGGGCTCTCCCCTGGACCCCTCCTCCACCCCGTGAGCTGCTTGCTCTCTGAAGGGCCTGGAGCCCTACGGAGGGCCCCGAAGGTCCATTGAGCAACGAGGCAGATCCAGGGCGCATGGCCTCCGCCCCTCGCCCTCCGTCTTCCGAACCCTTGCCCGCGACGGGTGCCGCGCTGCCGCAGACGCCGCCGCGGCCGCATCGGAAGGTGCAAGGCATACTCCGCCTCCCTCGAGCAGGGCCTAGACCCCATACGTCCTTTTATTTTACCCTCGGCAGAGCCCTCCCCCCCCAGGGGTAGCTGTTCGTCCAGCGCCCGTTTCTGATTCTCCTGGGGGCCAGAGAGCGGGCCCCGGAGGCCGAAAGCGAGGCGACCCGCCCCGATGCAGCAGACCACGTCGTTGGGCATTTCGTTTCCTGGCCTCCTGTGGGGCCCACCAGGACTCCAGCTCCCGCAGCTCCCTGTGCGAGGCGGGGCACCTCCCCGCACCCGGCGGCGCAGCGGGACGGGCGGTGCCAGCCGCCCCCCTTCTGGTGCGGGAGGTGCGGCCCGGGCCGTGTGCCCGGGCGACGGTCGGCGGCGCTTCCAGAGCATCCTCCCCCTCCCCCTCCTCCTCCTCCTCCTCCTCCTCCTCCTCCTCCTCCTCCTCCTCCTCCTCCTCCTCCTCCCCCTCCTCCTCCTCCTCCTCCTCCTCCTCCTCGTCCAGGTTAAACTTCGGAGGCACCTCGAGCCATGACAAAACCACGTCGGGAGGTGTGTCGCAGCTTACTGCATCTGGGGGCCCTCCCAGGTCGCGGGACGGTCACAAAACGACTCAGGACGAAAAACCGGTCCCCTGGAAGGGGTACAGACTTTTGGTGGTCGACATTTCGGAAAAAATCACGACTTCGGAGGTCTGGGGCTTTCGGGGACCAAGAGTCCTCCAAAGGCCACGGGGGCCGCACAAGCGGCTCCCAGGACTCGTTCTGTAAGGCCTCGGCGCCCCCTGGGGGCCTCTGCCAGGCCCCAGGGGCAGCACAGATGTTCTGGCCGCGACTCGCGACGAAGAGTTGACAACCCCGGGGGGGTAGGGGTGCGGATCGGCAGGAGCTTTAAAAAAAACCGTTGGATCTCTGGGATCGCCCTGGCGCCCCGGGGGGAGAGCTTGGGGGCCTGGGAGCCCAGACCCCCTCGAGCCCTGACAAAAGTCACGACGGGAGGTCAGCAACTATATTTTCTGATGGGCCGATTTCCCACCACCACAACCATAGGTAGGATGGAGAGGAAAGAGGAGGAGGAGGAGGAGGAGGAGGAGGAGGAGGAGGAGGAGAGAGGAGGAGGAGGAGGAGGAGGGAGGAGGGAGGAGGAGCAGGAGGAGCAGGAGGAGCAGGAGGAGCATGAGGAGGGGGAGGAGGAGGAGGAGTTGGAGGAGGGGGAGGAGGAGGAGGGAGGGAGGGAGGGAGGGAGGGAGGGAGGGAGGGAGGGATGAGGAGGAGGAGGAGGAGGATGGGACGGCCGTCCAGGGGAACGGGTCGAGAGTTCTGGGGGTCCACGTCCTGAAAGAAAAGGACGTCGTCGGGGGGGTCTGAGGGCATCGCATGTCTGGGTCGTGGCACTTCCTCGGCACGCCCGCGCCGTGCTTCACGTGCTGAACGCTTCCTGCCCTTACCTCGCCTCCCCATTCTTCCCGCGCCCCTTCGTGCCCCATGTGCTCCCGGTGATTCCCGCCCGCTGCTCGACCGGCGCTTGCACCTTCTCCAGCTCGCTTGCGCCCAGTGGCTAAGCGCGCGCGGGCGATAATAATCACCACCATCATCATCATCATCAGCATCATCATCATCATCATCCTCCTCCTCATCATCATCATCATCATCATCACCATCATCATCATCATCATCATCATCATCATCATCATCATCACTTACCTTCCCCGAGAATACCTTTCATTATCCACGCCAGAACCCCGAACTTTATTACCCCAGAGAGGTGTATCATCGCCCGCGCCCGCGCAGGGTCAATTATAAACACTTTGGGGTCGACGTCGTCACAAGAATCATGACCTCGGGGGTCCGTTGCGTTGCATCTACGGGGGCCCGACGCGGGCCCGATGCAGACTCGACGCGGATTTGGCGCGGATCCGAGTCGCGACGCATCGCCGCTGCATTGCTGGCGCATCGGCGGTGACGTCGGAGACGTCGGCGTGGACAAAGATCGGGCTCCGCATCGATGCGGCGCGATCCTCCGACACCGCGTGCGCCGACCCCACCTGTCGAGGAAGAAAAAAAACACCTCGACCCGCACACCTTTGCGTTTACTGCACGGCCCTGGGCGTTCTCCGAACAGCCTTGCCCCACTCGATCCCTTCCGCAGGTGCGTTTGCGAAATGCTTCGCTCGCTGGGGTGATTCTTCAGAGGGTTTTTCTCGGACGTGGCGAGACACCCACCAAGACAGGTCGACTGAGGAAATCTGCTTTGGTTTACTCGACATTGGCATTCGAGTGTGCCGGTGCAGTCCCCAGTCGGTTTCTTTGATCGGCGTGCGTTTGCCCGAATACATCGGGTCGTTTTCGGACGTCGGTGATGTACGCCGCAGGGGTCCTTTCTCGATGCGGTGCCGTGCCCACGTGGAGTGCTCGTGGCAGCCTTCTCGACAGGGCGTTTTGCCGAAGGCCTCCGATGGTCCTGCCCTCGCATCTGGGAGGCCGAGAGGGTCGCCATGCCATGCCGCAGGGGTGACCCATGCCAAGAGACGCCCTGGTTGCCTCCAGGGTGCCCTGGGTTTTTTGGGTTTCGATGGCACTGCCATGGGAAGCGTGACGTCCCCACACCAAACATCAGTGGACGTCCTGGGGTCTCGGGGTGGGGTCCCTTGCGGAGGGTTCCTTGTGGTCGACGCTCCTACACGCCGGTCGTTGAAAGTAGGTATTTGTGGATTCCCAGATCCCAATCTACTTCAAGCGCCTTCCTACCTCAAGAATCGACATGATTTTGCTGTGCTTCGTTGCTCTCTGGGAGGGCCTGGACCCAGTCCACTCTGTCCGCCTTCCTACTCCATGCTTCTACCAACGTCTTCCGACCGACGTGTGCTGCAGCCTCTGGGCGGGCGCAGGGGCTGCGCACCGCGGACCCCACGGCCAAGTGCATCCTCTTCGTGCAGTTCGACGACTTGAAGATGCAGGCCCTGCCCCCCCTCCCCTTCCTCCTCCTCCTCCTCCGCCTCCTCCTCCTCCTCCTCCTCTTCCTCCTCCTCCTTCTTTTCCTCCTCCTTTTCCTCCTCCTCCTCCTCCTCCTCCTCCTCCTCCTCCTCGACCTCGTCCTCCTCCTTCCCACCCAGGGGCCGGCCTGGGGGGTCGGAGGCGGCCCAGTGGATAGGTTCCAGCCGGCGGCAAGGGGGGTGCGAGGTTCGAGGTTCTGGGTGCGAGGGGCGCTTCTGCACCGGACAGGCAGGCGTCGTGTGGTTTCGAGCAGAGGCCTCCCGATCCGCCCACGCTGCCCACCGCGGCCGCCAGATCACCAGGTCCACCGAGGTTCCCCCCGAGACCCCCGGCCCTCCCGACCCGACCCGCCCAGTCTGCATACCGCTGCCGCCAGATCTCCATGTCCACCGGGAGCACCCGAGACTTTCGCCCCTGTGAGCATGACAGGATACATCTAGCAGCGCAGAGCACCACATAACACGTCATGGCAAACAAGAGCATGATCACCGACCATTACATGTCAGCGCAGAGCATAACACAGCACATCGTCACACACCATGGCATACCATAGCATGACAACTTCTTATATGTCAGGGCGGGCCATACATCACATGTCGTAACATCACACAGCGTACATCTAGACCACATCATATCGTACCACGGCGTTGCGTATCATAACAAGCCATTCCTTCACGCAAATCATCACATACAACGTCATAAGACATCACACACATTAATACGCCATGCCGACAGAGAGCTCAACACATGTATTCATAACTCAGCACATGAGAACGTCACCAGGAGACACTATCGATAACACCATTACCTAGCACATCAGTGCATTGCCTACCGGGTCGTATCAGGGTGTAGTATAACAGTTCTTGGCAAACCATACCAGATGTGTTGAAGTATGGTTACCATGGCGGCAACACATGTAACACAGCATCATCGATGTCTACACTCCAAATATGCACGCCATGACATACTATGGCATACCATCTTAGAGCGAGCATAGTACAACGTTGCCATCATACTTTCTCTATTATTGCCACCACTGCAGCAACGCATGAGGTACTTATCTCGGTCCTCTCGGGGCCTTTAGGCCGTCCCGGTGCCCTCCTGTAGCTACCTTGGTCCTTCTGGGCGGCATCTTTTCGCATCGGAAATGCTCTGGAGGAGCGGGAGGCGGGAACCAGAAGACGAAATAGCAGGAGATAGAGGGTAGTGGCCACGGCCTTCACTCACTTTCCAGCTGCGCTTTTGTATCGGAGCGGTGATCTCGCCTGGGCGCTGGCTACATTCCTGATCGGCAGTGGTGTTGACGCGCCTCTCTGATCAGAAATTTGGTTGTCGCCAGAGCGCTGGCCTCATTCCTGGTTGGAAACGGATCTCTCGCTTCAGCGATGGCCACATATCTGAATTGGTGCTGCCATTCTAGCGCGGACCGCATCGTTGATTGGGAATGTGCTGTCGCCTGAGCGCCGTCCACATGTTCATGCCTGGACGCGTAATACTGTCTTCAAGTCGGAGGGTTTGTCCGCGTTGTCAAGGGAGTTGTCCAGGTTTCGTTTGATGACTTGTTTCGGAGGTTGTTAGAATCCCACCTTGCCACGTCGGTCAGCGAAGTGCCTTTCTTCGCTGCCCGAGAGCGTGCCGTGGCCGTTTCGCTACATGGTCATTGCTCAAGGGGCCTCTTATCCATCCCGGATAACAGCAGCAGGCTCAGGGATTGGGGATGTGCAGCGCACGGTTCAGGTCATCGGTTCTTGATCCGAAGCAGGCCCGATGAAACGAATGAACCGACGTGCCCAGATGGTTCTCGTTTCGTTACTCTACTGAGGCACAGGTGTGTTACTTCCTCGTTTCCATTGGGCGTGGATCACGCATGCCATTGTTGCCTGTCTTCACAAGAGAGGGGGAACGGCGGGAGTGAGGTCGAGAGAAGGGCAGGGTAGAGGTGGCGCTCCAGGCGCCCTTTACTTACGCGTTCCCACGAGACACCCGTCGGTTAGATTTTTGCTCAGCCCGTCGTTCCAGGATCACATGATGCCTTCCAATGGGCGGTTATTGTTCGTCTCGAGTTGTTCTGTGGCATTCGGCTGGTTCGGAATGCTAGGTGGAACCACCTCGATGCAGGATAGTGATTTCGAATTTCCGATGGGTCGTGTTCACGCAGCGGCGCCCGGGACGATGATTAGGAAAGCTAGCTCCAGGTTGAAAATTAGTTCCCCATATCCTAAGATGGGGTTCTTGTTATTACTTGGACGCCTCCTACTCCTTCTCCCTCCTCCTCTTTCCTCCTCCCCTACTGTCGGACTTACTCATACTCAGACTTGCTCATACTCAGACTTTCTCATACACAGACTTACTCATACTCAGACTTACTCATACTCAGACCTAATCATACACAGACTTACTCACACTCAGACATACTCAACATTCTTCGCTTGGAGAGCAGATTGTGAGGATGTCTCAGGCGGGGCGCTGGTTTCAGCACCCCTAAGGGGAGCCGCCAGGGGTGTTTGCACGGGCTCGCTCGCGGCCATGTTGTGGGGATGTCTCAGGCTGTTTGCTTGTTTCTGGGCCCAACATCCTTCGCTTTCGGAGCAGATTTGGAGGATGTCTCGAGCGAGGCGCTCAGTTTCACCCCCAAGGTGGGCCAGATTTTGAGGATGTCTCGATCGGTTTGCTTGTTTTGGTGGCCAGGCTCGTGGGCGCAGCACCCCTAAGGGGAGCCGCCAGGGATGTTTGCACGGGCTCGTTCGCGGCCATTTTGTGGGGATGTCTCAGGCGGTTTGCTTGTTTCTGGGCCCAACATCCTTCGCTTTCGGAGCAGATTTGGAGGATGTCTCGAGCGAGGCGCTCATTTTCACCCCCCAGGTGGGCCAGATTTTGAGGATGTCTCGATCGGTTTGCTTGTTTTGGTGGCCAGGCTCGTGGGCGCAGCGCCCCTAAGGGGAGCCGCCAGGGGTGTTTGCACGGGCTCGTTCGCGGCCATGTTGTGGGGATGTCTCAGGCTGTTTGCTTGTTTCTGGGCCCAACATCATTCGCTTTCGGAGCAGAGTTGGAGGATGTCTCGAGCGAGGCGCTCATTTTCACCCCCCAGGTGGGCCAGATGTTGAGGATGTCTCGATCGGTTTGCTTGTTTTGGTGGCCAGGCTCGTGGGCGCAGATTCTTCTCAGGATGCCACAGGAGGCTCCAACAGGCTCCAGGAGGCCCCAGGAGACCACATGAGGTCCCAGGAGGCATCAGGAGGCCACAGAAAGACTCAAGAGGCCACAGGATGTCCCAAGAGGCTCCAGGAGGCCCCAGGAAGCTCCAGAAGGCCTCAGGAAACCACAGGAGGCCCCAGGAGGCAACAGGAAGCGCCAGGAGGCCTCGGAAGGCAACAGGAGGCCCCGAGAGGCCCCAGGAGCAGGAGGCCTCAGAAGGCAACAGGAGTGGCTCCAATCCCATGTGTTTTACGTATGCTCCTATCGATTGGGCCTCACCTGGAGCACGATTCTTTGATGTCTACGTATGTTTCTATAGATGGTCCTTCTCCTGTGTACACAATCCTAAATGTTTTACTCATGTTCCTATGTATTGGGCCTCTCCTGGGGCACGAGTCCGTGGTGTTTTACGCGTGTTCCTATAGATTGCCCTTCTCTTGTGGCTCTAATCCGCAATGTTTTATGTACGTCTGTTGCTATATATTGCGCCTCTCCTGGGGCACGAAACCTTCCTAGGAGGTCCCAGGAGGTCCCAAGAGGCTCCTGGAGACCCCATGAAGCCCCAGTAGGTTTCAGGAGGCCCCAGGAGGCCCCAAGCTCATGCACAGAGGCGCGCTCGTACTACTGAGGCTCATTCACACTCCAATTCATTCGCAGTTAGATTGATGTCCAGACCGTCACAACTGAAGCCCGTTACTATTCGAAAGCTCTTGCGCCTAGACATTCACGGCGGACAGGTCCATGCGAGTAGATGCACATATGGGGAGCTCCACGCAGTGAATAATTGTTCCATCGGTTTTCCTCCGCCCTCCTCGGGCGCGCGCCCACACGGTCGACGGTCTAGACGGAGCCGAAGCGAAGCGGAAGCCGAAGATTCGGACACCATTTTGTGAAGCATTCACCCCGCATTTGACACGGCCTCGCCGACCTCCAGAGGAGACAACGAGTAATGCACGATGGAAGTCTTCTTGAGGGCATCCTGGGGCTTCTGGGGGGGGGGGGGGGGGGCGTCTGGGAGGCCTGTAGGAGGCCTCGTCGCGCCTCGCGGGGGCGCCTCAGAGGCCTCCTGGGGAGCCCTCGGGAACATGTTAGGGGGGAAGGCTACCGCCGTGGGGCCGTATCAGCTGTGAAGTCGTATAGGGGGAGGATGGGGGACGGGAGGAGGAGGAACGGGAGGAGGAGGAACGGGAGGAGGAGACGGAGGAGCAGGAGGAGGAGCAGGAGGAGGAGGAGGAGGAGGAGGAGGAGGAGGAGAAGGCGGAGGAGGATTTGGAGGAGGTGGAGGAGGAGTAGGAGGAGGAGGAGGAGGAGATCCCACCTCTTTGGGTTCGTCGCCATCCTTCCGCTGGGCCTCTGCCGCCGCGGCGCCCGCCCAGCGCCCCTTGCCCCCCCCTCCCCCTCGGGGCGCGAGGTGGGCGCCGCTCTGCGCGAGGGGGGCATCCCAACCGCGCAGCTCAAGGCGCCCCTCAGGGCTTCGGGGGGAAGGGGGGAGGGAGGAGGAGGGGGAGGAGGGAGAGGGGTAGGAGAAGGAGGAGGAGGAGGAGCAGGGGGAGAAGGAGCAGGAGGAGGAGGAGGAGGAGGAGGAGGAGGAGGGGAGGAGGAGGCGGAGGAGGAGGAGGTGGAGGAGGAGCAGAAGGAGCAGAATGAGCAGGAGGAGGAGGAGCAGGAGGAGGAGCAGGAGGAGGAGGAGGAGGAGCAAGAGCAAAAGGAGCAGGAGGAGGAGAAGGAGGAGGGGGAGCAGGAGGAGAGGGCGGGAGGGAAGGGGGAGAAGGAAGAGGATGAGTAGGAGGAGGAGGAGGATGACAAGGAGGAGCAGGAGAAGGAGGAGTTGGAGAAGCAAGCGGAGGGTCGAGGAGGACGAGGGGGGGAGGGCAGAGTAGGAACAGCTTCCAGTACCGCTTCTCATCTTGCTCCCTGCGGTCGACATCGATCAGCGGATTGTGGCCACCCTTGCAAGGCCGTCTGTTGAGTTGGCTTGCCGTGTTCTCTCTCTCTCTCTCTATCCGTGGTGTGCGTGGTCCCGGTAGCCTTCTTGAGGGGCAGCGGATTTCTCCTCCTGCATTGCCTGGTTTAGCACAACTACGGTACCACTGCTGATCGTGGAGAGTTCTCGTCGCCACGGCTGGATGCTCCTCGCAGTTGCGGTCAGAACGCGCCCCAAGGAGAGGGTCCAGGGATCAGCAGTGTCGGCACCTTCTTGTCCCCTCAGGGAGGGCATGCTGAAGACGGCGAGGAGAAGAGGGAGGCACGCCGTCTCTCACGCGCGCTGGTCCCAGCGCCGTAGCTCACAGCACCCCGCCTCCGGCCGACCTCCGCTATCTGGCCGAGCAGGCGCAGGGCCTGCCCACCACTCCCCATGCCTCCAAGCCCGCGGCGGGCCTCGGGCCGGGGCTCCGTGTCGCAAGCGCTGCCCCCGTGAGTGGCGCGCGGCTCCAGTGGCCATCTGCTCGCGGTGGGGGCAGGGCCGGTGGCGCGCAGGTGGAGTTTGATCGATCGTTGCGCGGCGCAGTAGCCAAGCAGCGACTCGCGACGAAGAGCCATGTCTCGGGGCAGTGGACGTGAGAGGGGGGGGGCCCGTGCCTCGAAAGTATCGAGACGTCGGGTGTCTGGGTTCGCGCCGCCCTGGCGCGGTGGCGATTTTGGTGAGGGTGCTCAGCGGTGAACGCCGGCATCGAAGGGTCTGCGCCGTGGGAAATCGACCGACGTCGGCAGATCTGCGCTACAATTAGGAACCACGATCGCTTGCGGAGGAACGAGCCACGCGGATGCCAGAAACCAATGCCCACGGCTTCGCGACGTCAAAACTAATTCCCATCGCCCGAAATCACTGCCAAGACATGAATCCATACAGTCAAAACGCTGAGATAAGGAGCAGTTCGGATTCAGAAGGGGTCATTACTTGTTCCTCAGGTCCTTTCATGGTTGTTCCTCCAACGCTCCGTTTGCACCAAGCGCTCAGATAAGGAGCAGTTCGGGTTCGGAAGATGTTGGTTGTTTCTCAGGTCCTGCCATGGCCACTCCTCCATCGCTCCGTTTGCACCACTGCCTCTCTGTCGCCAAAGAAATGGCTTCCTCCCCTTCCTGGCGCTCCTTACCGCAGTGGCTCGAGGAGGACAACGCGACGTCAGCCTTCCACCGCCCAGGTCGTCGCTGCGTGTGCCTGGTCAGCAGTCAGGACCTCCAGGATGCTGTGATACGAAGCAGGCCGGGTTCGGAGGGGGCTCCCGTGGCTCCGCGCTGCGAAGGCCCAGGCTGGTGCTCGTCCCCTGCGCAGCGCTCCTCCTGGTCGCCGCCCGGCTGCCGCGGTCGCTCGAGGCTCCACGGCCAACGCGGCTCGGCGGACAAGAAGCAGAAGGAGAGGAGGACACTGCACTAACGTGGGTTCGCACATGCGAAGCGTCGTTTTCCTCCTGCCGCGCACCTCTCGCTGGCCTCCCATCACTCCACAGCGGCCGGCCTCGTGCGGCGCTGCCAGCTCTCGTGTCCTTTCGGCGCGCCTGCTTCCTCCGCGCTCCTCCGCAGCCGCGTGGGCGACGGGAGGGGGACCGCTTGCCGCTGCAGGTGCGCTTGCCACTGCAGCGGTGCCGTCGGAGCCCCGCGCGTTCTCTTTGGATCGGCGCTGGCCCCCCCGCTCCCTGCCGCGCGGGGCGCGCCCCTAGGGTTAGGATGTTCCAACCTACTTTAACCTTGTTCACCAGGAAGGATTTCGAGCACCAGAAAATTACCAGGAATAATGTCGCGAACCAACAAAGTGCCAAAACTCGAGGGTTTTCACGTGTCGAGCCCTGGGAGGCACTCGTCCGACACTGCTTCGACACTGCTTCGACACTGTTTCCACACTTTGCTGGGTGATCGAAATTATTTCTGGGATATGGTCCTTAAGTACGATGGGAGCAACATAACCCTAGGGGCGGCGCTGGCGCTGCCGCCAGGAGTCTCCGGCGCCGACCCAAGAGATCCGCGCGGGGCCCGAGCGGTCACGCTTCCCAGACCCCCGACGTCATGACTTTCTCATGACGTCGACCCCCAGGGGTCTCGACCCACTCCCCGGGACCGGTTTTTCAGCCTGCGAGTTCGGTCTCTCGGTCCCGGGGCCCGGTAAGGGCCCCCAGCGGCCGAAAGCAGTGACAGACCTCAGGTCGTGATGTTTTCATGACTCCAGGGGGTCCCGGTCATGCTGCTGGCCGTCCCGCCTTGCGGCCCTCGCGCAGCAGTGAGCTTGCGGCCCCCCCTCGCTCGTGCGGCGCGCCCGCCGCCCGCGTGGCGGAGCTGGAACAAAAACAGCTAATGTTAAGTCGGGCGTGTCCCTCTACAGGAGAAATATTCCAAAATAGTCTGAAAGATTTTCGGGGACGCTATTTGTTCACCCATTGTGGCTTCTTGGGAGTAGTTTTATAATCTTATGTTGTTTGTTCCGTCCGAATTTCGCATGTAGGGGGACATGCCCGACCAAATGGCAACTTGGGCAGGGCTCCGTGAGCCAGCGGGCCGCCATCATCCGCGACTACCAGGAGACGCCCCCCCTCCCGGGCGCGGCGCGGCAGCCCGCCGCGAGCGCGCGCGCCCCGCTTGCGGGGAGGGGGGCGGCCCTCTCTGCAGGAAGAGCGGGGTCCCACACGAGGCCCTCCGCTGCCCCGAGACGTCACGCGCAACGCGTATAGCGTAGCGACACGGAGCTCAACAGGCAGGCTGAACACGTACGTTTTGAGCACGGACGTCTTGAGCACGGCACGTGTTGCGTCCCAAGACGCGCGTATCAGAGCAGCTAAGACGAGGCCACATGCGGACCCTGCCCCACCTTTCCACGACTGCATACGGCTTCTTTCTCAGGGGGGGAGGTGGGTTTCAGTTCGCTCGGGACCTCCCGAGGGGAGGGAACCCCATCCTCTTCCCACGCTCAGAAGTCGTGGGGTGGTGGGGGTAGGGGCCTGCACATGGTCGCCCACTCCAGACGTCTCCCGCCTCCACGAACGAATTTCGGACGGCAGGCATTCTGTTGGTGGCCTTCGGCCTCCGATGTGGGGTTCTTGCCGGGCCCCCCCGTGCCGCAACGGAGGCGCTCTGGGGAGCGGGGAGCGGGACCGCCTGGGGGCCGCGCCGGGAGCTGGCATCGCCTGGCAGCGCACGAACCTGACAACAAAAAAAACAGGGAATGGACGTCCGAGCGATGGCGAGGGAGCACGTGGGAGCCTGGCGCGTCTGGGGCGCAGCCTCGCGGCAGCCCCCGGGCTTCTGAGTCGCCAGGCTCTGCAGCTGCGGTCGGGCCGAGGCATCCGCTCGGGGTCTGTTCGGGGAGGGTGCCTTATGATGTGCTTCGCGTCTGTGGCATGTCCTCGCGCACTCCGGGGGAGGGCACCCTCGAGTGATCTCATGGCTTTGGGCGTCTTGGTCGGCGGAGGGTCTCATGCTTCGGGGAGGCGTAAGACTCGAGTAAGCCGGAACTGGGGATTGCCGATTTTTTTTCGACCAGCGCGCTCTGGGTTTTGACGGTGCCATTTTCGTGGGATGTCTGCAGCGGGAGCCCTTGTCAAATTTCAGATTTGGTCTCCTCATGTTTATGCTGGCCCCCGCCGGGCCAGGCCGAGTCCCCTCCGCGCCCCGAGTCCTGCGTCTCCCCGACATGTCCTTGAGGGGTGCTCTTCTGCCCCAGGTCCGGCCGCACGAGGGACGCACCGCAGATTCCGCCCCCCTGCCCGGCGTGCCCTCGCTGCCTCGGCCCCGGGGCGCGGCCCCTCGGGATCTGCGCGGTGCGCCGGGCCCGCTGCCCCGAAGCTCCTCCGCACAGTGGCGCCCTGTGTCCACCGGGCAGCGGCCGAGGAGTCCAGACCCCAGGAATGCCAGCCACGCGCAGAGGGGGGAGGGAGGGAGGGGGGAGGGGGCTCCTGAGAAGCACCCCTGCTTCTCAGAAGGCGGGGGCCTTCTCCGTGGATGTGAGGCTGGCGCCTTGGAAGGAGCAGCCTCCTTCCAAGGAGCCCTCCCCCCTCCCTCCCTCCCCTGGTGCGCGCCGCCAATCCAGACCCCATTGATGCTGTGGAGGAGGGCGTGTGGCCCGCCCACGATGACCAGGGGCAACGATAGGGGGGGATGGGCACAGGGGGGGACGCATCGACCTCCATTCCGCCAATGGATCGCCGATCGGGCTCTGATAGCTCCACCCCGCCCAGGAGCGTCCGGAGCCACGATCGGGGACGCATCGCCGATCTATCGCCGATGCATCGCCGATGTCAGATCGATGTTTCCCCACCCTATGCCAGTCCCCCCCTTATCTTGCTCCCTCATATCAGGGGAAGGCGAAGGCAATGGCGCTTCGCGCTTCGCGGACCGGAACTGGAAAGAAGTGGTGTCCCAGAGCCTCGAAGAGGGCGGGGTGGGCATCCTGCACGCGCGAAGACGACCGCGCTTCGTGTTGCGCGGAGCCTGGATGTCCCGAGTCGGTCTGATGGCCGCCCCAATCCGCTGAGGCCCCGAGTCGGCTGTACTCCGGGTGAACTAGCAGATGGTTTCTGGCAGGGGCCAGGGTCTTCGGGATGTCGAGGTCGTCGGACCACCTCTCACCCGGCGCGTCTTGGGCCCCCGAGAGCACACAAACGGGTGGCCCGTAGGGTTTGCCCGCTCTCCTTGGCCCAGACCCGGAGCCTGTAGAAGGGGACGTTCCCACCCCGATCCAGACAGAGTCTCGCACGGGGGGTCTCCGTCGCCCCCCGGACCACCGCGGCCAGCCGCGTCTTGGGAAGTCGGCCGGGCTTGGGGCAAGGAAGGTGTCGCAGGATGGGTTTTGGTCGGCCGTGTGCTGGGGGGGCACAGCTGCAGTTGCAGCATGCACTGCTGGCGTAGGCGAGGAGGTAGCATACGCCTGCCACGCAGCAGCATCTCACGCTGGCCGGCACATGGCGCTGACACATCATGGCGGAAGTTGAGAGCACCGAATGCTGACACGCGATGTGGCGCAATGCTGCCGCACGGGTTGCGCAAACGGCCTAGACATGGCGCTGCAGCACCGGATGCTGATCGCACACATGTCATGTTGGCACACAACGTGCTCACACGAGGCTGCCCGGCACGGCTCGCACGTCGTTATTGTCCACGCGTTGTTTGCGGCCCGTGTGCCAATGGCATTGCCTTGTGTTCATGTGTGGTGTCGATCGCAGCAAGACCGCATATCTCAGCGTGCAGCCGAGAGCGAATCCATCGCGCAAAATTGCGCAGCTTAGCACTGTGGCACGGCAGCTGATGTTGATTCCATTGAGTTCCCCCACTTGTCGGTTACCGTCTTTTTGTATTTCCAAATGTTTGTTGCATTGGCGTTTGGGGGCGGCGGATGGTGTTTCGATGCCACTGATCGTATCTCCCCAGGCCTTCATCACCCCAACAGAGACTCGGCCAGTTACGCTGGAAACCAGATACATCTTGTCATATCCCGTGACCAAATCAAGGATATAGCTTTTTTGGCCCAGAGCGGCGTTTCAAGCGATGCGCACCTCCTCCGTTGTTTCTTCTACGTCCTGCAGACACCTCGCGCACCCTTTTTCATTACGATGCTGCCTCTTATTTGTTAGAAGAGTCGGCAATGCAGATCACTCAGCCATGTATAGTTGTGGGTACAGATTGCTCTGGGATGGAAGCACCGCTGCAAGCCCTGCACAACTTGGGCGTGAACGTGCGGCACAGCTTCAGCTCAGACATCAATGCACATGTCCGCAAGACAATTGAAGCGAATTTCCGGCCAGAGATCTTTTATACTGATTTGACTCAGCGATGCAACGAGAACGCCCCAGCTGTGGACTTGTACGTTGCAGGCTTTCCTTGCCAGCCCTTCTCCCTCGCGGGCCTTATGCAAGGTTTCCGAGATCTGGAGGGGCGCGGACTCGTTTTCTTTTCCATTAGGGAATACATTCGCCAAACGAGGCCCAAAGTCTTCATATTAGAGAACGTGGCCGGCCTCGTGAAGATCAACGGGGGGGACTACTTCAAGGCGATCATCCAGTCGCTCGAGACAATGGGAGGCTACGTCATCCACCACCAGATACTAGACACGAAGCTGCACGGGATCCCACAGAGCCGGGGCCGCGTCTACATCGTTGGCATATGCAGTGACATTTTCGGCCACACGTGAGAGTGACCCTGGGCAGGAGTGACCTTTGGTGCGCGGCTCCTGGGAGGACGCGAGGCGGCCAAGCCCAAACGCGCACCCCATCTGCTATCGCATCGCATTCAGCCCGAGCATTTTATTTGTGCTGAGAGCAAATGGTGAAATCTGAAATGCCGTTTCGATGGATTCTCGAGGCTTGAATCTGCAACAAGTGACTCACAAGACGGATTGATTTTCGAGATGCAAAAGCCCATGTGGATTTCACCCGGAGCCCTCCACCCTAAGAAAATGCTCAGCCAGCGATAGGGGAGGGCCAGTGGGCCCGCACCATATGCCACTCTGGCGACGGGCCGCTCTTTTTGGCATCGCTCGGCCGTGTGCCTTTTTTCCCCCCCAGCCAGGACCCTCGAGGAGGTTCGGGGATCCTCTTGCGAAGAAGAGCCGCGCACGACATCAACAAATGCACGTGGAATGGACGTCCGAGCGATGGCAAGTCTTACCCAGCGGTCGTTGAAAGTAGGTATCTTGGGTTTCCCATATTCCAATCTACTTTAAGCGCCTTTCTGCTTCAATGATCGAGTGGCGTTTCACCTTTCCCCGTCCTCTTTGTAGGGGGCGGGCGGACACCCAATCTTTTTGTTCAGCGCCTTCCTGCTGCATGCTTCCACCTACTTTTCAGTGGGGCCTGTCCCTCCACAGGGGGAGGTGCCAAACATAGCTTTCGCAACCACATAGTCTGGGGACGATGTTGGACTAGCCCTGACTACTTGAGCATGTTCTAGCTGTGTGTTTTTTCCCCTCACTTTTCGTCTAAAGCTCCGCTGAGGGTCATTTTGTCCCTTGCATGTGCACTCGCCACTGCGGCCAATTATCTTCGTTCAGCGCCCCGAACGTTGCCCCGCTTCTTGACATTAGTCCTGGAGCCGCCGACCAAAAAAACTACAGCCCCGCCTGCAGGGGGCCATTCCCGCCCTAACCCTGCCTCTGCCGACCGCTGGGTACGTGCAGCCGCCGTCTACGACCACTCCCCGCTCTTCCCAGCGCCCATCGCGTGCCCGAGCCTCGAGCTGCTCCTCGAGGCGCGCGACGCGCGGCAGGCGCACGCCCTGCCGCCCGCCTCGCAGACCACCGCCCGGGCCAACGTGGAGCAGACGCTCGAGGCGATCCGGCGCGCGGGGAGGGACCCGCGGGGGAGGAAGCGGATGGGCCGGGAGCCTCCGCCACCACCGCCATCGATGGGAGGAAGACCAGGAGGAGGAGGAGGAGGAGGAGGAGGAGGAGGAGGAGGAGGGAGGAGGAGGAGGAGGAGGAGGGGGAGGAGGGGGAGGGATCGAGGAGGAGGAGGAGGAGGAGGAGGAGGAAGGGGAGGGATCGAGGATGAGGAGGAGGGGGAGGAGGAGGGATCGAGGAGGAGGAAGAGGAGGGATCGAGGAGGAGGCGGAGGAGGAGGAGGAGGAGGAGGCGGAGGAGGGCCTTCCCATCCTCCCTTCTCCCCCGTCCGTCCTACCCGTGGTGGGTGGTGGTGGAGAAGCGGCCCATCAGAAGACGCACCGATACCGCTGCCCTGCCCTCGCTTTCGTCTTGTTGGGCCTTCTGGGAGGCCCTCGTAGCCACCGCTGGATTCGCCTCGAAGTTCTGGTCAGGACGCGGGGAGGGATCTCAAAAGAGGAAATTCGGAAAGCAGCAAGAAACGGCAGAAACAAAAACGTTCGAAGGTCCGCGCGGAGCTCTTGCAGCCTCGCTGGAAACCCCCACCCCTGGCGCGCGGAGCGCGCCAGGGACGGCGCCAGAGGCGCCGCCGGGGGGTCCCAGCGCAGATCCAAGAAATCCGCGCGGAGCGCCAACAGTTTCTGGTATCTTGTTTGTTTTTCTTTTATACCCTTCCCTCGCTTTCGTCTTGTCTGGCCTCTAGGAGGCCCTCGTGGCCACTGCTGGATTCGCCTCGAAGTTTGGGTCAGAGCAAAGCGCACCCTGAGAGAGGTCTTGGGAGTAGCGGTATGGGTACCTCTTGGTTTCCCCAGGACCCGCTCGAGGAGCCCTACGTGATCGTTGGAGGCTCGTTCTGGAGAGCCCCCAGGGGCCCACCTCAAGGATCGGTTCGATCCAAGTCCGGCTGCAGTTCGGCTCCCGTTCGACTCTGGCTCGGCTCGAGTGCGACCGGGGAATCAGGGCTCGAGCTGAACAGTGTCTGTCGTTTTCATTATGGTTTCGTAATTATTCCTTCGTTCCGTCTCCGTTCTGCCCCTGCTGCGAAACGAAAGCAGAGCAACAAAAACAGCCCACGGAATCGCCAAAACACCGTTTAGCTCGAGCCATGCGGGGAAGGGGCTCGAGCTCGACCCGAGCCGACAGGCCATCGACACGGCCTCGGCGCGCGAGGGGAGCGAGGGGCGCCCCAGGGAGGTCCCCAGAGCGCGCGTCCGCTCCTCGACTGCGACTCCTCCAGCCACCGCGCCGCGCGGCTGCTGGGCGTCTCCCCCTGCATCACGTGCGGGCGCGGCAGCGGTCATTGGGTGACGAACCGGGGGCGGCGGCTCACCAAGGAGGAGATGATGCGGCTCCAGGGCATGGACCCGACCAGGTTCAGGAGGGGAAAAAACACGCACAGACACAATTCATCGTCGATCCCCAGGAAAATATGGGAAAATATGGGAAAGCGGGGGGGAAGACAAAACCCCCGAAAATATGGGAACACATGGCGAATCTTTTTATTCGTGTGTATTTTTATTTGTGTGTCCTGGGGCCCCTTCACAGGTTCAAGGTGGTCGTGTCGGCCTCGCAGCTCGGCCGGCAGCTCGGCAACACGATGTCCGTGAACGTGCTGGAGCGCCTCCTCGCCCGCGTCCTGCCCGCGGCGGGCCTCACGGCGCGCGGGGTGCCCCTGCCAGACAGGCGGCGCCGGGGAAAAGGCCACAGCAGTCCGCCTCGAGGGCACTGATCCGCAGTGGACGCGTGTGCCACCAACACACGCTGCGCGCCATGCCTCATGTGCGTAGATGTGTATGCATGTATGCATGTGTACATGTATGCATGCATGCATATATGTATGTATGTATGTATGTATGTATGTATGTATGTATGTATGTATGTATGCATGCATGTATATATGTATGTATGTATGTATGTATGTATGTAGGTAGGTAGGTAGGTATGTATGTATGTATGTATGTATATATGTATGTATGTATGTATGTATGTATGTATGTACGTATGTATATATGTATGCATGTCTATATGTAGTATGCATGCATGCATGCATGTATGTATGTACGTATGTATGTGTGTGTGTGCATATGTATGTATGTATGTATGTATGTATGTATGTATACATGCATGCATGCATGCATGCATGCATGTATGTATGTATGCATGTATGTATGTATGTATGTGTATGCATGCATGTATGCATGCATTTATGTATGTATGCAGGTATGTATGCATGCATGCATGTATGTTTGTATGTATGTATGCATGTATGTATGGATGTATGTATGTATGTACGTACGTATGTATGTATGTATGTATATACGGGCATCTACAGTCACATATACCGTGCAACTACATACATATAGACAGTTACATAAGTCTATATATACATATACATTTATATACGTCTCTCTCTCTCGCCATGTCTCTCCGTGCCTGTTCCTCTCAGACCACGTTCTTCGCCATTCCCTCACGCCATTGCGCGACCGAGCTGGATATCGAACTAGCCGTGGTATCACACACGACATCCAGCGATTGAAGGAATGAGCTAGCTAGCGCTCTACCTGATGATCTGACAAGTCTGCGACGTGGTCTAACAAACGGTCGATCCGTCGATTAATGGGGGTGCGACCCAAAAAGCGATCAAACCGAAGCAGTCAGAATCACACGACCCAAGTACATCAGTACCAACCTATGTACACATCCGCTTAAATGACGACAGCGTTATTGTCAATCGAACGACGGAGTTACCCACTAGCAAGCTCGGGCGTATCCTACGGGAGCCACGGGATGAGCGCGGAACGCGACAGAGCCTCGCCATCGGGTGGAGAGGGAGCCACGCGGGACATTTACGGGACAACCGTGGGGCACCGTGCTTTGACGCACTGTTGGCGAGGGCCGTTTCCCGGTTTTCGCCCGTTTGCGCATGATTTGCTTTGCTCTGAATAAAAGCAAGGAGTGAGTTCAGTGGGCGGGCTGGTTTTCTTTATCAGGACTTGGCATTTCGCGTATTCTTCCCAGCCCATCCAGACACGCGCGTTTCCTTGACGAGGGAAGCGCAGGAGGGCACACTGACACAACCCGCGAGGTATATTCGAGGCAGAGCGAGAAAATTGGTGGGGCATTGTCAAGACAACGAGCGGTGCACCTTCCCTGGGAGGACTGGAGATCCGATTGTCGAGTTTGCCCTTGGCCAGGGTCGTTTCTCGCATCTGTACAACTTCGCTTCGCCCGCGCGCGGCATTCACCATAATCGGAATCGATTATCCGTCGGGGGTTCTCCGTTTCATTGCGTTCTCCCACCGCCCTTTTGACAAATGACGCGGTTGGCCTTGGGGAGAATGACTCTTGGCCGCATGTCTTTCCGGTACCCAGACCTCTTTTGTCTGGGCATGTTGGTTTTCCGTGTATGCATCCAGCAAGTTGCCTCTGACGGAGGCCCTTCATGTCGGCACGCCCACGGGAGATGCGGTTTGCATCCTCCGCATGTGTACTAAGCATGTGTGTGTGTGTGTCTAGTTATCCGGCGCTGCGTGCAAGCATTGGGTCTACAGGAAAACACATGTTTCGGTTACAACTTCATTTGGGCCCCCCTGCGTTTTTAAGGGAAACTGCATGGAACGCGGCAACGTCAATTGCAACGTCGGCAACGTCGGCGGCAACCGCTAAGCGAAGACGATGAGTGAGACAGCGGTATCTGTTTTCTGCATCGGCTCGGGGTGGTGCGGCATGGCGTTCGCGCGGGGGGCCCTTCTTCCCCGACATAGCTCAAGCTCCGCTCGAAAAGTACCCAGTGCTTTGACCGTATAATTCGCTACTATATGGCAAGCGCAACGCTGTAGACATATCACCACGCCTGGAACGCAGCTGCCAGCGCCGCGAAACTCACCTTCTGCCCACTGGCCTCGATGTGGGTGCGGAACCTGTGCTCGGCAAGGAGCCTCGACCCCTTCTCACTGTCGGCCTTCTTGGGCAACGTCCCGCCGTAGCGCTTCCTGATCCACCGCTTGACCAATGACCATTGGAGCTCTACGTGGTTGGTAGTGAACCCTCTTTCGTTCGTGATCTCGCCAGCGCTGTGGTTCACTACCTCGTGCGGGAGCATCCGCTCGGTGAGGCCAGCGTCATTGCGGTACTGCTTCACAGCCGCGATGGTCCCCCTCCACTTGTCCGAGACGATGACGACGCCAGCGGGAGGCGACAGCCCCTTGAAGTTCTCCAACAGCTCCTGCGTGCCCATGGGCTTGCCGTCGTAAGCATCCTCGACAGACTTCAATACTTTGAAGAAGAACAGGTGCGGCGAACCCTGCACGACGGCGCCCCACAGCCATAGCTTGTCTTTCTTCGGCCTTGCGTTCTTCGCCAGCCTGGACAGCTTGCCCTTGTTCAGGAAGGACTCGTCCACCTGCAGGAAGACCTCCCTGGTTCGGGCAGCAGGGAGCCTGGACCGCGCGGGGCGCTTCATGACAGGCCGCTTCTCGACGCCCGCCTGGGCTGGACGTTTCTTCGCCGAGCGCTTGGCCCGACGCTTCGGCGCAGCTTTCGCAGCAGCGGGGCGCTTGCGCGGGCCGCCGCCGAGCATGTCTGCGAAAAGGTTCCCAGAGTCCATCTTCCTGGCCATGTGCTCCTCGACGCCCTCTTCAAACGTCTGAATCCAGCGCTCCACAGTTGTGTGGGCGTCAACGCCGGCCTCGTCCTTGAGCGTGCCAAGGCTGTAGTCGAAGCACCACATCACGAAGGCGTCGAGCTTTTTCATCCATAGGCTCGTGGGCGTACCCGCCAAAATGGTGCCCTTCACCGCCGACACCTCGTCGCCGTTGCAAGTGTCGCATCCGCAGTCGTAGCGAGGCCCGCGCCAGTTAAAGCGCACGGCATCGCCGCGGCGATGCTTCACGTTCAGCGTGTACTCATCGCTGCAGTCTGCGCAGAAGTGCGTCTTGCCAACCATGCCGAAGTGCTGGCAGAACAGGTATGCGCGAGCCGCCTCGTCCTCCAAGTAGCTCCCAGGATCCAGGATTTCCGCGTGCGAGACGGCGTACTGGAAAGAGTCCTTGTTCGTCACGTCCAGGTCTTTCAGCGCACCCAGATAGGCCGCCGCGTCTGCGTATCGCGCCATGCCTTGGGATGCGGAGGGGCGCCGAGAGGCCAACGGAGGTCCCGATCTACCTGCGAGCCGAACGCTGCGGCGCCAATCGAACTGTCGAAACGGGGCAGGGAGGACAAGGCGAGCTTGGGGCGAACGGGGGGGGGGACGACGACGACGACGCCGACGGCGAGGACGGCTCTTGAGTCATCGCAGTCGGTCAGAATAACAACCCAGGGTGCAATCATCATGGCGCTCATACTCATATGGGAGCCCGCGAAGCGCGCTGGGGGCCCATCAGAGGCTCGGCGGCCGCCGCCCCGGCTGCCCAAGCTCACCGCTCACCCAAAAATTCAACTCGTCACTCTGCAGCTGCTCCCAGAGGTCTTGCCTGCGGTCGCGCACCAAGTCCACCTGGGGCGGCGCAAGCTGCACGCATGAAGCACAACGCGCACCTGGCACACCGCGCGCACATGGCGCACGCACACTGCGCACAAGGCACGCACGTTGCGCACCGTGCGCACCGTCAGGTTTGTCTATCCGCCCACCCTGTGTTCCAGCCGCGCGATCTTCCTCGTGTAAGGCTCGACCACCGCCTCGAGGGCGGCGGCCTTCTTCTCCGCGCGTTTGCGGGCGTTGTAGGCGGCGTTGCGCGCCTTCTTCTTCGCGTGGGCGGCCGTTCCTGGCTTGGGGTTCCCCATGCCAGTGGGGTGGCGGGGCGGGGCGAAGGGCGCGGTGTCGGCGCGAGCGCGCCGCGAGCTGCTTGAGCCTCGGTCGAGGTGCGGCGTGCCTGCTCGCGTTTCCTCCCTCCCTCCCCCCCTCCTCCTCCTCCTCCTCCTCTTCCTCCTCGTTTTTCTTCCCCCTCCTCCCCAGCCTCCTCTCCATCCTCCTCCTGCTCCTGCTCCTCCTCCTCTTCCTCCTTTTCCTCCTCCTCCTCCTCCTGTTCCTCCTCCTGCTCCTCCTCCTCCTCGTCCTCCTCCTCCTCTTCCTCCTCCTCCTCCTCCCCCGCCTTCTCCTCCTCCTCCTCCTCCTTTTCCTTCTGCTCCTCCTCTTCCCAATCGGATTCCAGTATCGGGGGCGGAAGCCAGCAGAACCCTGGGGAAACAAAAAAAAAACAAAAAACAACAAACAAGACAATCCTAAGGAGACCTTCCCCCCCCAACCCCCCAGCCCCCGAATCTCGGCTCAGCATTGCTGTTGTTGTTGTTGTTGTTGTTGTTTGTTTTGTTGTTTTTTGTTTGTATTGTTTTTTTTTGTTTTTTTTTTTCCGCAGGGTTCTGCTGGATTCCGCCTCCGCTCATGGAATCCGATTGGGAAGAGGAGGGGGAGGAAGAGGAGGAGGAGGAGGAGGAGGAGCAGGAGGAGGAGGACGAGGAGGAGGAGGACGAGGAGGAGGAGGAGGAGGAGGAGGAGGAGGACGAGGAGGAGGAGGACGAGGAGGAGGAGGAGGAGGAGAAGGAGGAAGAGAGGAGAGAGAAAAACGCATATGAGAAAGGGGGGTGGAACACGGTATGCGGATTTGTCCTAAAAACGCAGGGGGCCCAAATGAGCCTGTAGCCCATTTTTTAAAATGCTATAATATCTTGCTCGGTGTTCCGTGTGGTTGTCCAGTGCTGGTCCAGCGTTGGTCGTTGTTTTGCCCACATGTTGCACACACGCTGCCGAGTTCTTGTGCGACAGGCGTTCTCCCTGGTAGGCGACACTTCTGACGTCGTAGGCGAAGTAGTATCAACCGCGAGAGTCATTACAACACTTTGTAAACACATGTTTTACGAGTGCCACTTCGCATATTGTGCCCGTGGCGAGAGAGATTGTCATTTTGTTCATTGGCGCATGGTTACACTTCATCGCTGACGCAAGCCAGATCGGCAAAACGCGGATGACGCAGCTAGCGCCAGCATGAGTGAGGTGTTCTATGCATGGAGGCGCCAGCGAGCAGTCTATCACAATTCAATGTGCCTGCAAGAAACCCAGACCCCCGACTTCATGACTTTTTCATGACGACGACCCCCAGAGGTCTCAACCCATTCCCTGGGCGCAGCTTTTCATCCTGACTCTCGGTAAGGGCCCCCAGAGGCCGAGAGCAGGGTCAATTTTCCCGCCTTGATTTTTCCATGGCTTTAGGAGGTCTGTGAACGAAGTGCAACTGACCTGGAACCAGGGACTGTTCCACCGTCGTCGCAGCCCCCGCCAAAGAGACCATCCCTCCCACCCACCCACCCACCCACTCACCCACCCACCCACCCACCCACCCACCCACCCACCCACCCACCTACACACACTTTTTAGTCAGCAGCCGCAAGCGAAAGCGCAAACGGCGAGTCGAGTCAGAGCGGGCCGCGCAAAGACGAATCACCTAAAGCCGGCGGGGCCTCAGGCAGCACACACACACCACACACACACACACACACACTTGTTTCTCTTGCTGCGGACCCTGGCGAGCGCACGCGCCCGTCGAGCAGCCCACGGCCCTGGGACGGCGACGTAGTAGGCTCAAGTTGGGCCTGTCCCTCTACAGGAAGAATCTTCAGACATAGCTAGAACAAAATGTCTGGGGACGATGTTTCTACATATTTGTAGCTATGTTGTAAAGTTTGAGGGTATGTCCATGCTTCTCCCCAAAGGAGAAACTTCTGGGAGTTGACAGAGGGCAAACCCTGAAACATCGGAACCCTTCGCAGGGACGCTGGTGATCGTTTTCGTTTTCATTGTCGATTGGCGCGGCCCTCGCAACCATCCCCCCTCTCCCCCCCCCAGGAGTGGATCTGAGCTGTTTTTTGGCGCCTGTTCCGAGCAGATGGAGTCTCCCCCATCGGGCGCACAGCTGCAAACAGTCGCATTAAGCAGAGGTCGGAGCCAAATCCCCACCCGTCCCCTTCTTCTCCGCCCAATGTCAAAACGCCGAAAACAAAAACGCTCACTTGTTTGATCGATTTGGTCCCAGCCTCCAGGGTGCGCTGGGTTTCTTGGGTTTCGATGGCTTTGCGATGGAAAAAGCGTGACGCTCCCACGCCGAAAATCCATGGTCCTGGAGTCTCAGGGTCGTTTTTTTTTCGCGGGGTGTTTCTTGTGGTCGGGCCCTTAGTGGGCCCCGGAAGCGGCAGGGTCGTTTTTTCACCGTTTCCGAAGAAGTGTCCCTTGAAAAAGGAAACGGTCAAAAAACGGCGACGGGAAACGGCAAAAAACGGCTCCAGGATTGGAGCCGGAGCCGGAACCGGTCACAAAACGGCGTCGGCACCGGCAACCAAAACGGCGAAACGGAACCGGTAAAAAAAACGGCCCTGTCGTTTCCGGGGCCCACGAAGGTCGGGCCCCCTGCTGTGATCGCTTTGGCCCCGGCCCGAGGTGGCACAGCGGCGCGGCCCTTCGGGAGCTCGCGGCGACGCGGGGCTTCCGGATGGACCTGCCGCCGCCGGCGCTCCGCGCGGCGCGGCAGCCGCGTGCGGGCACGCGGCGCGCGCCTGCGGGCAGCGAGCGGGCGGAGGCGGGCCTCGGCAGGGGCGCGCGAGGGGAGGCGGCCAGTGTTGAGTCGGGCCTGTCCCTCTCCAGGAGGAAAGTTCAAGAATAGGCAAACAATAGTCAGGGGACGATCTTTTGGATCATTTTTGACCATGTCGAACTAATCGTTGACTCTTTTTTTGATTTTTCGCCCAGGGTCCGCCTGTAGGGGGACATGCCCGACCTAAGAACGCCAGCGGTGGCGGCCAGTGTTAAGTCGGGCCTGTCCCTCTACAGGAGAAAATTTCAAAAATAGTCAAACAATAGTCAGGGGACGATTTCTTTCATAATTTGTTTGACCATTTTGGAGTATTTGTTGACTCTGTTTCATGTTTCGCCCAGGATCCGCCTGTAGGGGGACATGCCCGACCTAAGCAGGCCAGCGGTGGCGGCATCGCAGATGCCGCGCCCAGCCTGCTCGGGCGCGGGCAGAGGCCGGAAGGTTGGGCGGCATTCGGGGCAGAACACCGATGCGGGACTCTAACCTCGAAGGGTCTTCGTTGTTGTGATCCTCCACCCCCCTTGTGTCTCTCGGCAGGGATCAGGTTCAACCATCCTCCTCCTCCTCCTGCTCTTCCTCCTGATCCTGCTCTTTCTTCTCCTCCTCCTCCTCCTCGTCCTCCTCCTGGTCCTCCTCCTCCTCCTCGTCCTCCTCCTGGTCCTCCTCCTCCTCCTCCTCCTCCTCGTCCTCCTCCTGCTCCTCTTCGTGTTCGTTATCGTAGTCGTCGTCGTCGTCGTCGTCGTCGTCATCGTCGTCGTCGTCGCCGTCGTCGTCGTCGTCGTCGTCGTCGTCGTCACGGCGGAACTTATTTTCCCTCTATTGTTGGGCGTGCTGGATAATGTTGGGGGCTTCTTCCTCCCAGGGAATAAGATTGTGCCGTCGGCTGGCCCAGACAGGAGGCCCGTTTGCAAAAATATAAGATTGCGAAAGAATATCGAAAACATCATTTTCATGAAAACGCGGAAGAACAACAATACGTACAGACAAATATTTGTGTTGTACGCACAAGTGTTGTATATATGTGTGTGTGTGTGTGCGCACAATTGTTGTATATGTATGTGTATTAGTTGGTGTGTTTCTCATGCTGGAGGAGCGTGCCACTTATCTTTCGCGAGCCGAGAGATATTTAGCATGTCGCTCCAACTTAATTGTCTCTGTATACGGGCGTTGCGCCGCTGACGACTGGTTTGCAAGGCAGGTCCAGGTTGACCTCGGGAAACGCGTCGACGCCAGCCCTCCTCGCGGGGGTCCCCGCCAAAAAGGCTCCAGAAGGCCAGAAAGGGGAAGCTCGAGAGGCCACCCCGCCAAATGGATACATCCTCCTCTTGGGGGCCTTCCCAAAGCCCTCCAGGAATTCGGAATGGGCCCTCAGACTGCCCGAGAGGGTTCCACAAGGGGGACCCTTTGGGTCAAAATATATTGGCGCCACCTCTGGGTTCAGAGATCTCGGCTGCCTTTGCGCCTTTTCGGAACTTGTTCGGGACTTCGGGAGTGGGTCGGGGGGGGGCCGGGGAGGCGTCCCACAAGGGCACAAGAAGGGCCCGAGAGGGTTCAAAGAAGGGCTCCCGACAGTGGCACCTAGAGGGCCGTCTTGGGTGCCACTGGGGGGGTTCTCTTTGGACCCTTTTAGGCCGCTCCCTGCGCCTCTTCGAGCCTCGTTGAACTCTCTGGGGGCTCATTCGGGACTTCGGGGGGCGTTGGCGGGGCCCCAAGAAGAAGGGCCCAAGAGGCCCCAGGAAGATTCCAAGAGGGCTCCAAGAGTTCTCTAAGAGGGCCCCCCAAAGAGGCGCCAAGTATATGCACGAGTGTGCCTATTTTTGTGGGCTTCTGGGCGCAATCTTGGGCCCTCTTGAGCCGTCCAGGAGCTTATTTGGAATTCTCGCGGGGCTTCGGGAAGGCCCCGAGAGGGGTCCAACATGGCCCAGGGAGGGTGAGGCCGTTTGGCTTTCTTCTGAGCTAGTGTTGCGCGGATCCAGATGTGATTTTCCGGCCCCTCTCAGGCCGTCTTGGGGGGCGGCGCGACGTGCGGGTGAGTGAGCATTGTCCCTGTGGGCGGCGGTGGGCACAGTTGTCTCGAAGGGTCCCGTGCTCATGGGGCAGGGTCCAGACGCTGTCCTGAGGGCCGACGACGACGAGCAGCGCGCGCGCGCCGAGCGCAACCAGGCGCGCCCGGAGACGCCCCTAAATTAGGTGTATGTGTTTGGTTGTTTGTTGGTTGTATTGCTGTATTTGGGGATTTCTGAATCGCGGCTCACGAAACGCACGACACATGGATAACAGTATGTTAGTCGGATTATGTTGGTATGTCGTAGGTCTGGCGGCTCGCAGAAGTTGTAATATAGATGTTGTGTAAAGCCGATCGTTGTTTCAAAACTTGTAATATCGGAGTTTTGGAAGCGCAGCGGCTTGGCAGCTGGTTAAGTTGCGTCCCGGCTGTTTTGCAAATTCGTGCGCCTTTATTCACCAGCGCCGTATCGAGGGCCCGAGGGGCCCCAAGACTGGTCTAACTTGCCACAAGCAAATCCCATGGGCGCCAGAAGGGGCCCGCGCGGGGGCCCAAGACTGCCCCGCGCGCATTTCGTGACTCGGGGGCGCTCTTCGGGCCCTCCGGGGCTTCTCCGTGCCGTCGCACCCCGTCGCGGAGGCTTCCGGAGGGCCCCATGAGGCCAGGAGAGCTCCAAAGAGCTAGCTCCCTTCGAGGCCCTATATGGCGTCTTCGGCCCCCAAAAGCCTTTTGCCAGGGCTCTTGGAGGGCCCGGAGAGGGAGAGGGCTCCTAATGCGGCCTCCCTGCTGTCAATGACGAGGGCCGCCATCTTGACCGCAGGGGGCCCCCCTCGGGGCCCTCTTGGGGCCGTGCTTCGCAGGGCCTGTCCGGGTTTGGTGCAGCCAGGTGCGACAGGTTCGGCCTGCGCGAGGTTGGGCGCGCGCGTTCGCGGGGATTCGCGTGCTTCTGCGGGGTTTCTCGCATCAGTCGCGCTGTCGTGACGTTGTGTTTCAGCATCGGGTGGTGGGTCAAACAGCAAACTGGCGCGTGCCCGCGTTGATCCTCGCATGTTTGAAATGGCGCGCGGGGGCTTAAGATGGGAGCGCCGAACAATTGTCATTCGCGCGCGGGGCCCCGCGATAGAAACCGCGAGAGGGGACTGCTTACTGCTTGAGCATCCGTGCGCTGAGCGCGCTGCGGCGGCCCTGCTTCTGCGGCAACTGACGTCTACTGCGATCCCCACCCCCAGGATTCAAGCAGCGATGCCTTTGGAGGCGGCAAGCGTGTGGATCCTCGGGTGGCTAGCGCGTACCGCGGCTTGCGCGGGACGCGCAGTCCACCATGCACCCCTTGGCAGGGGCGCTAGTGCGACAGCCATTGCACTGTCGTCCAAAATTCGGCGCAGACGTTCTCTCGTTCATTAGATTAGAAGGCAGGACAAAGACATGACATCAGAGAAAACAGTGGGCGCCGTCCGAATTTTCGGGCAACGGCGTGGCAACGGCCACGGCAATGTCCAGCGGAATCGCCCATCACTCCTGCAACTCACTTCTGGTGTGTGCGCGTGCCCAGTTCAAACGTTCACGCAATACGAAAAGCGCACGCGTTTTCCGTATTCCGACGGTTTTGTAAAAGTGAATCCGTGTTTGGTAGTATAGGCGGCCTGGAAGGGCAGACCCTTGTTGTCTAGTTTTCAGTATGCCGAAGAAACAGATGTTTGATATATTTCTGGTGGCACCTCGTGGGGGTCGGGGTGTGCGCACAGGCTCGGATGAATTTGTGATCGCCTCAGGGGGGGAGGCCAGCAGCGCGTGGCGCAGCCGCTCGGCCGAGGACTGCAGGCGCGATCCTCGGCGGAGGCCCCAAAATCATCGATTCTTTGCGCGCGCGGGCGTTTTTATTTGCGGAGCTCGGCGCCCTGGCGCGAACGGCCGAACGACACCTGCAGCGGGACGCTCTCGCAACACGGTTGGGCGCCTCAAAAATCTTCGGCTCAACGCAGACACCGCTCAAAGGCGGTGCCGGACCACCCCGCTCGGCGCAGAAGGCGCGCGGCCTCGAAAGAGCGAGATGGCGGCGCACCGCCTCCGCGTTCAGCGCAGCGGGGAAGTGGAGGAGGAGGAGGAGGAGGAGGAGGAGGAGGAGGAGGGGAGGAGATAGAGCAGGAGGTTGGGGGGGGAGGTGGGGATTGGTCCCTAACGCCCCCCCCCCCAAACACTCCGCGCTTCTTGGCGCCAGAAGGCGTCGCAGAGGGCCCCGCTCGCCTCGAGCTGCTGGGACGGCAGCGTAGCGCTGGGCGTGTCAGCGGAGGGGACGCCCTCGCCTTGCGCGAGCCCGCGCAGGTCGGACAGGAGCCTCGGGAGGACTCTGTCCCGACCTCGATCAAGATACAGTCAAGTCGCGTAGTACGAATAAACAACATTCCAAGGCTACCCTTCCATCCCTGCCCCTTCGGCCCATCCCTGGCAGCTCTCGCTCGCCAGCCCCATGTTCGAAAGCGCCAACACGGCCCTTTTCAGGCCTTTGCCTCCTTGCCGCGCAGTCTTATTGTGCGACTTGGCTGTAAGACTCGGAGGAAGTGAAGGTTGACGAACGAACAACACACACCCATACCCAAAAGGGCGGTCGTTGGGAGGAGGACTCGCTATGGGTATGGGTGCGGGTTGTCGGACCCTGGGGAACGCTCCCGTTCGAGCGGGGACCCCCATCCAACAACACGTACCCATAGCCCTCTCCGACCCCCCTATGGGTATGGGTGTGTGTTATTGGTTCGTCAAAGGTGTCGCTCGTTCGAAGTTCGAGGTTCTCGGGCATGGTTGCCGTTCCTGGTGGTCCTCCAGCCTCGGGGGATGCTGTCCAGCAGCTGCGCCGCCTCGAGAGCTTCCCGGGGGTGGG